GACGAACACGAGCACCATCTGTGTCGACGACGCCCACAATGTGGAACGTGGTAACATCTTGAGGTCTGGCGATCGCCGCCGGGTGGTCGGAGGTGTCACCGGCGCCCCGGCCAGCGTCATGCAACAGATACGTTTCATGCGCCTGTATCTCTTCATCATTAGCTTGTGGTACGATCGCACATTAGCGTTGACGCCAATGGAGAACGCATCCAACTTACTCTGCATTCATTCATTATTTCTTAATTTCATTCATTCATCGAGAGTTGGAATTTAAAATGCTACATGCAACTACTGGCTACTGCATGCAGCGAGTTAATTTAATATTCATGCCTACGTTTGTGAGTATAGTACGCATGCATCCATGTATAATAGAGCGAACGAGGCGAGGAGACGACACTAATTGATTAAGTATTACTAGTGCAGATCGAGCTAGTAATTGATTGACGCACCAATATTATAATACTACTAGTAGCTAGCTAGTACTCCTAAAATGGTAATGCATGCAGTAGCAGTAGTACGTACGTGATCGGAGAAAGCTAGCGGAAAGAAATTAAACGAAATTAAGAACATATCTATATAAAATGCAACCTAATTAAAATGAGTAGTAGATAGAAATTATTAACATATCTATAATGCAAGCTAATTAAGTAGCTAATTCAATAGGTGGAAATTAGCTAATGCATGATATCATATCCATATATACTACTCATTATTGACAAGAAGCAAACAGTTAATACTCCCGATGGATCGATGGATCAGTGCATATGCATCATTGATTCATCGTCATTAATTAATTCGTATCAAATTAAAAATAAATCGAAAAGGATGATTTTATTAGTTACCTCGTCTGGTTGCTGCTTACGAATCCGTGCTCGAACCCGGGACACCATCTCCCCGCGCAAACGTTCGTCATCCTCCTCTTCCTTGGTGATCTCTCGCGCTTTCCTTCGCAGCGCCGCCGCGCCGTCATCCATGGCCTTGCTCTCCTTCCTGCCACGCGCGCCGCCGATCTCCTTCGCCTTCCTCGCTTCTTGGTGTTTCTTGATCGCCTCTTTTACCAGCTTCTTCCCTTTTTCTTTCTTGGTGTTTCTTGATCCCCGCGAGTTCTTGTGATCCCCATCGCCGCCGTTTCCTCCTCCCCCATCTCGCCAGCCGCCGCCGCGTTCTTGATGGCCGTCCCCGTTTCTCCCCGGGCTGATCGGAGTCGGAGGAGAGGAGACGCCGCGCCGGCCAACTTCTCCTCCTCCGCCATCTCGCCAGCCGCCGCGTTCTTGATCGCGTTCTTGATCGGAGACGCCGCGCCGGTCTCCTCCTTGCTCTCGGCCGTCCCCGTCTCGCCTGCCGATCGTCGGAGAAGAGGGAGAGCACGGGTGGAAGCGGTGGTCTTCTTTTTGCTTCCGCGCTTCGCCATTTTCGATGGATCGATCGATCGATCTTTTGTGTCGTGGATCTTGTTCAGTTTGTGTTGGATCCTGGTGTGATCGCTAGCTAGCTAGACCTAGGCGTACGTGCCAACTCCCTATATAAGCTACAGCTACTACGCTATATATACATTTCATTATCAAAACCACCTCTTCTCAACTAGCTAGCTACTGCCGTTTAACGGCTACTTCCCTTCTCTTCTTTGTTGCAACTTCGCATGCATTTGTTCGCTTCTTTTCGTTCGGTGTTGTACTAATTAATTAATGGGCCTCTTTCGATCCATCATTTCCAGGCCCATATTAGCTAGTCGTTCCCTTCTTCTTTCGGAAAAAAGTACACCGAAGGTCCCTCAATTTGTCATCGAGTTACAAAATCGTCCCCTAACCATGAAACCAGATATATGGCACCCCTCAATTTACAAAACCGTTCCCTTTAGATCCTTAGGTGGTTTTTACCCTGGTTTTGTCCGACATGGCAGCTGAGGCAGCATGGGACCCACACAGGCCCCACATGTCAGGGTGTCCACGCCAATACCTTCTTTCTTTCCCCTCTTCTCTCCCATCCTCCTCTCTCTCACCTCTCTGCGCAGGCTGGCTGGCGAGTGGGGAGGAGGCCAGTGGGTCGGGAGAAGGTCGGTGGTGCAAGGAGGGAGAGGAGAAGGTCCGGCGGCAGCGGCGACGATGACGCGGGAGCAGGCCACCACGCCGAGTAGGGAGCCAGCTGGTCGATCTCCTCTCCGTTGTTCCTTCCCTGTCAGCCGCGCCGACCCTCTTCCATGCATGATGCACCTGGACAAGAACATAAAATTGTTATGACCAGAGTTATTAGTTATATACAAAAATATCTGCTACTTCTGTTCCAAAATGTCACAACCATTTTTATGGAGCAGCACAACGGTGAGGTTTCTCCAGTCCGCACCACCGGCGCCACCTTTCTCATTGCTCGCGGCGGCCTCCCCTTCCTGGGCGCCATGGCTCGACTCCACAACTGCTCACCTAAATCCCGGTGAGCCCTTTCACCTCAATCGCCTCCTCCATCCCTAGTCCCCAAATCCTTAGTCATTTGATCGATTCCACCTAGGTGAACCGCCATCGCTTGAACCCATCTTCTTCCTAACTGGCCGCCATTGGCAGCTCGTCGATCTCGGGCCTTTAATTTGCCATGGCTGCCCAACCACATGTAGCACCCGCTTCCCCCTACATCCCCGAGATACGTAGGACTCCCCATACTCGCCGCTCGGCTATCGATACTGTCCCAACAACCTCTTCTTCTGTGTCTACTTCTCCATTCTAATTTCTGACTAGTTCGCGCTTGCTTTTGTATTGGTTATAACCTCTGTACTGTGGGCCTGTTTGGTATAGCTCCAACTCCTAAATTTAGCTTCAGGAGTTGGGTCTGGAGTGGAGTTGTGGAGCTGCCTAAACCCAGCTCCACAACTCTAGTTCATTTTGTGAGAGAGCTCCACCCAGCTCCACTCCCAGTTTTAGTGGAGCTGAAACTGTTTGGCTGAGCTCCAGCTCTAGGAGGGTGGAGCTGGAGCTGGAGCTGTGCCAAACAGGCCCTGTATTTTGTTTGGCTTAAATTGCCAAATGGCGAGACCAGACCCCATGAAGCTTCTAAGTCTGATGTTGATTTGCAAGAATCAGATTTACCAATGGGAAGAACGCTTAGTGTATCCGCGGTGGATGAATCTTAGGAAATTCGCCTTGTCCGAACAAAAGCGGGAGGTAGATAGGTGGTAGTTAGAAGGATTCCTTCGGGGAGCTGCTTCTTCCTTTGGATTTCTTCATCGGCATCTGGTCGCCGCTGTCTAGTCCTGCTTTGATCGGCTACTTGTGCCGTCCATTTCTTAAGAGAGAGAGAGAGAGACCAAGGGGAAGACAAAGAAGGGAAAAGAAAGGAGAGGAGATCAACAGCCTAGGGCTGGTCAAACCGATATAGTTCGACTCCGAGTTTGATTTGTTGGTTCTCAGGGTTCCTCGTTTGGGTTCAAGGTTTATTAAGTCCTATTGGATCTCTAAACCTAATAGGACGTGGAGAATGCCACGCGGAGATAAGATCCCTTTATAAGAGCTAAGGCTGATTTGATTCTAACACCTCAACCACCACCACAACCCCTACACAATCAATCGAATTGTTCTTTCACCTTTTCATTTCAGCCATGTTTCTATTTTATCTTTTACGTAGCATTAGTCTGTCCATCTTTATCGATTTGCATAATAAATTATCCGCCTTCACTACGAGAATGCGGTGCTTTTTACAGGTTTGTCTTATAAACCTTATAATTCGTCGATAAGATGGGTGTTTACCTTGAGATCGATTTAAATCAGCTTAGAGGTTGGTTTGATTTTTAAATTGGCTCCACTAACCAATTTTAACTAGTATTGTGTCCATGCTAACGCTACGGTGATATTTATTAATGGCGATATATGTGTGCGACAACATATGTGTGTGCATGGTAATCAAATTTTAGACTAAATTGGCGTGGAAGGTTTGCCAACATCTGAAGCTATTTTATTAGACATCCATAAATGATAAAAATAGTATTAAATGTGCATATAAAAAGATATAATGACAGCAAGTTTCCTTTCAATCAGGACTTTTCCTGCTTAATAGTCGTAATAATCTCTTGAAATGCTCACGTTTGATGAAAAGAGGAGATAACCAATTAAAAACGAATTAAAAATATATATGAAGAGTTTTAACAAAAACATGGCTAACGGATTGTAAATATGCTATCCATGCCAAGTATTTTAACTAAAATATGTTTTTTTTGAGAAATGTACATGCATCTATACCTGCACAACGCAGATTAAAATCATATCCTCTTAAGATGGGTAGTGGCCTCAGTGGCAGAGTAAGATGCAGAGCGAGGTTATCCATTAAAAAGACTCTCTATACAAAGAAAAATCACAAATTTCATATATGTATCTTCATATTGTCCAGTTAATTCTTGGCTTGCAACTATGATTTTTCCATCACCATTGCATGGATCAGAAAAGGTTAGCCAATGCCTAAAATCTTGCTGTACTACTTCGTCGTAATGTTATTGCTGGTGACTTAAATAATTCAGAGAACCAGAGTTCACATCTTCTCCCATTCTTATATTGAAGTATTGCATAATCTCACATAGACCATACTACCATAGTACAGATGTTCCCATCTTCTTCCATCCTTGTGCCAAACTCCCCAATTTTAGATGTTCCCATCTTCTTCCATCCTTGTGCCAAACTCCCCAATTTTCAACACACGTAGACTTATCTCTAGAATTCCTTCAAAAATATCTCTAGAATTCCTTCTGAAGACCCATCATTTTTGTGAGATTATGCAATACTCCAATATAATCTATGCAGGTAGAGAGATAGTACAGATGAGAATTCCCACAAGATCTCTGATTGGCATACCTTTCTGCTATCTCTCTACCTGTATATTTGCAACACCCAACTAATTAATTACCACTCATCAGACCAGCTGGTAATGGAAATATAGTGTTAGTTTTATTAACCAATTATTGTTCTGCAAATGAAAGCAACAGTGTTTAAAATGCTGAAATTTTGGCATATTGTGTATAAGATTAATTAGAAGCACATCAGATTTAATGGACAGTACTGAAAGCTGTAGCAAAAAGGAATTAGTTTGACAAACCCTTCTCTTTTTAAATGACAATTCCTGCAATAAGAGTTCTCCAATCATAAATAGGCTGGAAGAGAGAGACTAAAGTGAAGAAACAGAGTGCTCCTCAAACCCAAAACTCCTCTAAACTCCCATATATACATTGATATCATTAAGCTTCCTTTCACATTGACTGAAAACAGTAGACCAATTTGGGCTGAAGCATTTTTTCCACTAATAAATCACACGGTCGTTAGCGTCCTCGTGGAACCCCTGCAACATGCATATGAGTTAAACAGACACTTACAGAAAATGCTGAACTCGTGGACCTTTCAATATGATATCATTTCTCTCAAAAAATGCTGAATTGCCAACATTGCTTACAGACATGAAGATGAACCAAGGTATAAACACATAAAAAAGGACTAAATTTATACCACTATGGCTGCGTTCTTTTCTCAGTTCTAGTCCTCGTTTTCCGTTAGCACGCTTTTCAAACTACTAAACGGTGCATTTTTCTGTAAAAAGTTTCTATACGAAAGTTACTTAAAAAAATCATATTAGTCCATTTTTTTAAAAAAGAATAGCAGATACTTAATTAATCATGTGCTAATGGATCGCTCCGTTTTCCGTAATCACTGTTGAACTGAGAAAAGAACGCAGCCTATATATATGTTGATCTGGTGAATGGAGTTCAGTATAATGCACACATTGTTTCTCCCAGAAAGCTCGCCTATCAGCACATCTCCAGCGAGTTGGATGGTGTTTCTAAAGAGCTGAAAAATCTAGATATCAATGCCAATTGCAAGCCATGTGGGAGCAGGCACTAACCTGTGCCACTTTGTGCCAGCAGATCCAACTGCATTGCCCCCCACAAGCATTGATCTCCTAGTAGTGGACTCCTTGCCGACCTTTCATCGAGCACCTTGCACTCATGTATCACACGCTAGTGGAAAACAAAGAATACCGGAAGGCAGAAACAAGTGGGAAGGTAAAAGTGAAGGAGACTAGAGCTTAATCAGACCTGCAATGCAGAGGGCGAGAAGAAGGTTACCGTCCATTCAGGTTCAGTCAACAATGAAGATGGGTGCAAGAGGAGAACAGTAGCAACCTTGAGCAACGGTTGCGACTGTTGTGTCGTCAGTCATGTCCGTCCTCGATGTATCCATGAGGAATGGACTTTGGTGCCGCGGAGGTACCGTTGGCCGGACGACGATGCCGGTGGGTTGCCCGAGGCGGAGACCTTCGCGCCAACGATGCCGACGAAGAGGAGTCGGTCTTCGTGGCGGGGACGACCCATGGCAACACGCAACATGAAGATTCGCTGGGAAGGAGGGGCGGTCTTCGTGGCGGGTTGAACGCACGGTGTAGAGGGCGGCGGCATGGTATTGATGCGCGATATTCCCGGGAAGAAGGTGGGAGAAATGGGAGCCACTGGATTTGAGAGAGATGATTTTCGTCCGTTGGATCTGATGATGATGAATGAAGTATGAAGGATGTAAGAGGTAGTTGATGAATTATAGGGTAGAAGATAGATATTTTTCTAAATTCATTGGTTTAGATGACTCTGTTAGTACCGCAAATCTAAGGTGGATTTGTATTACCCGGAAAAGAGTAGTCGTCAACATCATCTGCTTAGTTATGATGGATTACTACTTGTTTCGTGGGAATGGTTACATTACATGCCCCAACAGGAAGAGGAAAAAAAAAACAGAGAGAGAGATGTGGGCGGGTAGAGGTGGCCAAATGGGCCGGGCCAAACGGGCGGCCCGGGGCACGGCCGAACCTGTAGCAGGCACGGCCCGGCACGGCCTGCTACAGTAACGGGCCGTGCCGGCACGGCACGAGTAGCCGTGCCGTGCTTGGGCCGCTGGCCGAGCCCGCGGGCCGGCACGGCACGGCACGGCTACTGTAGCGGGCCGGCACGGCACGGCACGCCGGCGGCCCGTCAGGCGCGGACAGGGCGGGCGGCGGTCGAATGGGAAGGCGCCACGTGGCACTAACGGCTATTTGACCGTTCAAATTTGAAAATAACCGTTGGGAGGCTAAAAAATTCATAAAAATTTCGAAAAAATTCCAAAAAATCTCAAATTTCGCCCTATAAATAGGGCATGAACCCCAGCCATTTCTCCTCATCCCACACTCCTCATCTTGTGCTCTCAAGTGTTTTAAGTGCTCTCTTTGTTCTCAAGTGTGCATTTTTTTTGATTTTGACAAAATTTGCTCAAATTTTGTCAAAAATCAAAATTAGTTTCGTAGTTCAACAGTTTGATCGCAGAGGTTTGAAGAGCTCGCAGTTGGAAAGATGTAAGTAATATTCAAATTTGTGTATTATTTGTATTGTGTTTGTGAATTCAATAAATATTCGAAAATTTGTTTATGTCGGTTTAAATTTTCAGAATGGATCCGAACTTTCCATACCAGTCGCCGTCGTTCACCTTGGGTGATTTCGACCCCAACTACATGTCGGGGTTTGACGGTACCTCCGGATCGGCTCCAACTCCACCATCTGTGGAGGAGGTACCGGTTCATACGGCTGTCGTTGAGGAGGTACCGGTTCAGGCGGAGACAGCTTCGGAAGGATTTTCCGGAACCGCGAGCGGAAGTGTTTCGACACACACCGGCTCGAAGAGATCGAGAACCTCCGGTGTGTGGCAAAGCTTCGACGAGATAAAGGAAACATGCCCCGACGGAAGGGAGGTATCGAAAGCCCGTTGTAGAATATGTAGGCAAATTTTATCTGCTCGTTCTTCTGGTGGTACAGGTCACCTCAAGCGCCATGCGGAGTCGTGTGCCAAGAAGCAAGGAATACAACTCCGGCAGCAGCAACTTATGGTAAACCCAGACGGTACGGTACACAGTTGGGAGTACGATCCCATGGTTGCTCGGGAATCTCTTGTCCGGTTAATCGCCAGGCAAGATTTACCCCTGAACTTTGGGGAGTCCCCTGCTTTTGAACATTACATTCAGCAATCTCATAACCCTAGGTTTAAAGCTGTGAGTAGGCAAACATCAACTAGAGATTTAGAGAATGTTTATCACAAGGAAGCAACTGCACTTAAGGAACTGTTTAGTACATGTACTTTCTCTGTTAGTGTTACTTCAGATATATGGAGTAGTAGAGCTAGAGAGGATTATCTTAGCGTAGTTGTTCATTTTGTTGATGATGATTGGCAATTACAAAAGAGAGTTTTAGGGCTTAGGTTAATAGATGTCTCACATACAGGAGAAAACATAGCTGAAAGAATTAGGGAAGTAATTAATGAATTTAATCTTGCTGATAAAATATTTGCTGTCACCCTAGATAATGCATCTGCTAATTCTAGGGCTATTGAAATATTGCAACCTTTATTTTGTGTGTATGCTCAATCTTTTCTACTCCATCAGCGTTGTGCATGTCATATAATTAATTTGATTGTTAAGACTGGCATGAAGAGGGTAGGTGACCACATCGATGCTGTTCGTCAAGCAATCGCGTGGTTAACTGCTTCTAACCCGCGGATTGCTGCATGGAAGAGGTTTTGCAATGCGGCCGGTGTGAAAGCTCGTAAGTTTGCCACCGATGCAGAGCATCGGTGGAATGCAACGTATTTAATGTTAAAAGTTGTTTTACCTTATAGTAGTTTACTTTCTGATTTTGTTCAGTCACGTGGTGGCCCAAGAAACAGTGACGGGTCTTCAGTACTGAACGAGCATGTTTGGGCAATTGTCCAAAAATTTTACCAATTTCTAGAAACTTTTTATGATTGTACTCTAACTTTGTCACAAGTTTATTATCCAACTGCTAATATAATTTTGCACAACCTTCTTGAAATTGCTACTTTATTTAAAGAATACGAAAATGATGACGTTCTAACTGAACCTGTCTTTCACATGAAACAAAAATATTTGAAATATTGGAAAAATATACCTATGTTGTATGCTCTTGCTTTTGTTTTAGATCCTAGGTGTAAATTAAGGGGATTGTCTGCTATTTTATCACTTGTTGGAGATACTATAGGTGTAGATTATAGTTCTTTTTATACTGAGGTTAGACGTAAATTATATGAGGTTTTTGGAAGATATGAAGTAAAGTTTCAGGAAGTTCGCCAGCAGAGACCCCCTCCTATCCCCACTACAGGTAAGAAGAAGATACAGTGGGGTAGGATTTGGGGTGGATCGTCTTCAAGTTCAATCCAAGGTGGTGGCAGTTCGTCGGCTACAAGTGGAGACGCCTCTTCGCATGTTGTGGCCGAAGAGTTGTCCGGTTATTTGGACAGCGACGCCATCCACCATGAAGCACAAGATTTCAACGTCCTCGGGTGGTGGAATGACCACAAGATAACATATCTTGTGCTTTCAAAACTAGCACGGGATGTGTTGACGGTGCCCGTGTCGACGGTGTCCTCCGAATCGGCCTTCAGTCTATGCGGCCGAATCATCGAAGACCGGAGGACGACTCTGCGCAGCGACCACGTCGAAATGCTACTAAGCGTTAAAGACTGGGAGCTTGCTCGACAACATGCCCAATACACTGCGGACAACCAAGAATTGGCCGCCCAGTTCGAGCAACTCTACCTGGATCCAGACCAACCCCAGTAGAATTTTGTTAGAAGTAGTTCTGACCTTTGAGCTGTACTCTTTTCTTTGTCATGATTTTCTCATTTTCCCCTATGAGTTTTTACATGACAAAGTTTTTAACGAGGCAGCATGTATCATTGTATCCTGTAATGATATAAACATCAATAAAGGTCATTACTATTTTTAACAAATTCTTTTGCAATATTTTCGCAAGTGTGGATTTATCTTTAAATTATTTCAAAATAATGAATCACAATCTATATTTTTAAATTTTTCAACACAACAAAAAAATACCATTTTTTCTTTTTTTTAACATTAGCAAATCATTACTTTTTTAAAAAACTTTTATTTCCATTTTTTAAATACCATTTTTTCATTTTTTAACATTAGTAAATCATTACTTTTTTTTAAACATTTTATTTCCATTTTTAATTTTTTTTCCTTATACATTTCCTTTGCTTTTTTTTTAAAAAAAAACACTGTGCACTGCAGGCTGGCGGGCTGGCGGCCTGCCTTCACGGGCCGCCGTGCCCCGAACGGCCCGTGGGCCGCGGGCGTGCCGTGCCGGCACGGGCACGGCCCGGCCATCCACGGGCCGTGCTTGGGCCGGCGGCTCGGCACGTGGGCCGGCACGGCACGGCCCGTTTCATCAGCCGTGCCTAACGGGCCGTGCCGAAACGGGCCGTGCCGGAACCGTGCCCGTGCCGGGCCGGGCCGTGCCGCCCGTTTGGACACCTATATGGGCGGGCGGGTGTATGTACAGTACTAGTATATCATGTGAGATCCAAACCCAAGCCCAGAGAGTAGACTATTCGTCGTCTCGTCTCCCTGTCTTCCACCCGAATCGCCATGGCTCGCTCCTCCTCCCAGTCCCAGTCCTCCGTCGGCGCCGCCGCCGGGGCCGCCCGCCCTGCCACCGTTGGCCCCCGCGGCACGGCCGCTGCGGCCGCCGGCATGCGCCGCCGCCGCGCCTCCACCGCCGGCGGCTCCGGGGGCTTCTCCGGTGGCGGCGGGAGCAACATGCTGCGATTCTACACCGACGAGGCGCCCGGCCTCCGCCTCTCGCCCACCATGGTGCTCGTCATGTCGCTCTGCTTCATAGGCTTCGTCACTGCCCTCCACGTCTTCGGCAAGCTCTACCGCTCCCGCACCGCCGCCTCCGCCTCCGCCTGATCCATCCCCCTTTCTCTTGTTCCCCTACTTTCTCTCTCATCAGATCAGATCGGATCGGATCGGATCGGATCAGATGACATGTTTTTTTTTGTGTATGAAGAAAGACAAACCTAAGCTTAGTGGAGTAGTAGGGATATGGATCTGCTTGCTGAGTTCTTGCTAGATCTGCCAACCAATTGTACCCTACCCTAGTTCAACTTTACTCTTGTTTACCTTGTTTCAGACGAACAATTGTGGCTAATTACTCCTACTTGTGCTTGCAAAATGTGCCTCTTGGGAATTTTGATTGTTACAGTGTAGTTACTGTTACTGAAGATGCTTCTCAATTCTACTACTACTCCTCTTGCAACCTCATCTATTGCTGCTAGTACATCTGAATGCTAATTTGTAGTAATTCACAAGTTGTGTTATCTATCTTAATGCATGTTTGGATAGAGTTCTTTTCCACTAATCCTTATGGTTCCATTCAAATTTGAACTGATTTGTGAAGCAATATACCCTAGTGCAAGTTTATGGTTCCCTTACTGTTTCTTCTTACCTTCTTTCAAACATTTGTTGCTAATTAATTACTTGGGCTCGCAAAATTTGTCTCTTTGGGATTGATTGCTAGTGTTACTACACTTTTCTTCTTGAGGATGCTTCTCAATTCTACCACTACTTTCATTGATGAGTGCATCTTACTAGCTCATCTTACATTTATTATTACTTACTGCATCTGTATGCTATTAGGTTGCATCATTTAATTGAGTAATTGGGTGTCCCTATCTTCTGATTGGCTTCATAATAATTCTAGAGAAATCCCCTATCTCATAATTGTACATCAGGCTTTGCTCTTGTACTAGAGTTCTTCCTCTATCTACGATTGTATAACCTATATACTCTATCTTGCAGTTTACTTCTTTTCACCTATTGTTGTAATGATTTAGAAATTGTAGCCAGGCTGCTGTTCTTTCATCTAATAACTGCATGCTGATCATATCAACATGCATATGGTCTAACTACAAGTTAAAACCGAGAAGACCAGGTATTCCTTCCTTGTCACATGACCATAAACCTGGCTAATAGCTTATATGAATGAATCATTTAGAGGATGGTGCTGAAGTATTTGTGCTCCATGTATTTTTTGGTTGAGCATTCACAATGCTTTGTGTAGGAGCTTTAGTATTTAGTAGCTATTCTGTGATGCAATAATCGTCTGTACTATATTTTTACCTTAGAATAATAGTTGATCTACAAGCATCATCGTATCTAATTGCTACCTGAGTTATTCACATGTTGTTGTCTATCTTAAGGCATATATTTGGATAGAGTTTTTATCTAGTAATCCTTATGGTTTCATTCAAATATGAAATGGGCAACCTGCCATGGTGCATTCACATATTTGGAATGAGGTGGTTTGTATTTTAATTAACCTCTAAAAATTCCCCTCATGCTTACTGTTTTTATCTCAGTACGAGGGGACGATAATGTGTGCACAATTCCAGTAGGCAATTCACTGCTCTGTACACTTGTTTGTATAAATGTGCTTTAATTAACCTCTAAAAATTCCCCTCATGCTTACTGTTTTTATCTCAGTACGAGGGGACGATAATGTGTGCACAATTCCAGTAGGCAATTCACTGCTCTGTACACTTGTTTGTATAAATGTGCTTTAATTAACCTCTAAAAGTTCCCCTCATACTTACTGTTTTTATCTCAGTATGAGGGGATGATATTTGATTTTGCGAAAGGAAAAAGTACGAATTACCCCCCTGAACTATCGCCGTCGGCTGAATTTTCCCTCTAAACCCAAAAACCAGACGTCACTCACCCTAAACTTTTAATACCGGACGAATTACCCCCCCCCCCCGACCCAATCCGGAGCAGTTTTGTCCTACGTGGCGTATACGTGGCAACCTAGTCAGCATTTCTTTTTTTTTAAACATGGTTGGGCCTACTTGTCATTGTCTCTCACCTCCTTTTCCTCTTCCCCTCCTACCCCTCTCTCTGTCTCTCTCTCGTGTCGTCAGGCGAGCGGTGGGCGGTGGCTCGTCATCAGGAGCGGCCGCGCGGCCGGTCGGCGCACACGGCGGCGGACAAGTGTGGGCGGCGGGTGCACGAGGGCGGGCGGTGGACAGCGGGCGCACGAGGGCGGGCGGTGGGTGGTCGGCACGCGAGCGGCGGCGGCGGCGGTGGGCGCGCGAGGGCGGGCGATGGGCGGTTGGCACGCGAGCGGCGACAGCGGGCACGGCTGGGTGGCGAGCCGCTGGCGGCGACACCATCTCCTCGCCGCAGCCGTTCCTCCCCTTCCCTCTTCACTCTCTCTCTCTCTCACGGGGCTTGTAGGGGCGGGAGGTGGGTTGCGGCGCGAGCGGCGGCGGCGGGCGCGGCTGGGTGGCGAGTCGCTGGCAGCGACGCCAACTCCTCGCCGTAGCCGCTCCTCCCCTTCCCTTCCCTTACTTTCTCTAGGTCCGGCGGCGGCGGCGGCAGAGGAGCCGTCGAGTGGCAGGGCAGACAGGGAAAGCGGCGACGGCGGTGGTGGCGGCGGCATAAGTGACGGTGGCGGTCCCTCCCCGCCGTCGCCTGGAGCGCCACCCGCCGCCGACCAGGGCCACCCAGCCGCGCCCGTTGCCGCTCGCTGCCAACTAGTGTTGTGCCCACAGTCGGCCGGAGACGCGCCCGCCGCCGCTCGCCCAGCCGCGCCCGTAGCCGAGTGGAGGCACCCCTCCACGCCCGTCGCCGCTCGTCGCTCGCCGCCGACCAGTTGGCCCTCCCTGCTGCACCCATCGCCGACCGGAACCGCGCCCGCCGCCGCTTGCCCCACCGCGCACGTTGTCGACCGGAGCCAACCAGCCGCACTCGTTCGTCGTGGCGCGCGCCCGCCGCCCGCGCTCGCGCGCCGCCGTGCGCGGCCGCCCACCTCCCAGTCTCGCGCGTCCACCGCCCGCCCTCGCACGCCCGCCGCCGTGTGCGCCGACCGGCCGCACGGCCGCTCCTGACGACGAGCCACCGCCCACCGCTCTCCTAACGACACGAGAGGGAGAGGGGTAGGAGGGGAAGAGGAAAACGAGGTGAGAGAATGACAAGCAGGCCCCACCGTGTTTAAAAAAAGAAATGCTGACTGGGTTGCCACGTGTGCGCCACGTAGGACAAAACTGCTCCGGATTGGGTCGAGGGGGGTAATTCGTCCGGTATTAAAAGTTTAGGGTGAGTGATGTCTGATTTTTTGGTTCAGAGGGAACTTCGGCCGACGACGATAGTTTAGGGGGGTAATTCATATTTTTTCCTTTGCGAAATAGTGGAACTTGAAGATGAAGGCTTGATATAATGTCAAGATTGATATTTGACGATAACAAGGGTGGGCATGTCATGTCCCTTCCAGTCCCAGATGCTTGTGGGGAAAATATCTTGTTCATTTTGCATCTTGCTGATTGCATCCATCCATATGTTAATTGGTGTTAATGAATTGAACCGGTTGCTTCTTGGTCGGGATTGGATTAGCTGCAGCCTGCAGGCCTGCATGTGTATGCAACGATGTATGTATGTGGTTGCTTCCATTACTTGACGCTATATATGTAAGGGTGTTGCGGTCTGAATAAGGGTAAGAGATGGTGATGTGAGAGATGCAAATTGAAGTGATTGGATGACATTGGATTTGGCGGTGGAACGGAACGGATGATTCCTCTTCGATCTGTTGTTTGATTCAACGTAGCTGCTGGCTAACTATACGTGTTTGGTTAATAAACTGCTGCTGCGCTTCATGTACGTTCAGTGAAGTGAATAGGCAGCTAACCTTCATTAAGAAAACAGCAGAAAGTTAAAAAGGTTGGATTCTGACATTGAAGCATATATATGTTACATGGTACTAGTCCTGAACACGGCTGGGGTTGAGCAGACCATGACGCCAAAAACACAATTACGCAAGCATATGCAGCCGAGCTGTACGTTAACTCAAAAATCAAAACAAGCTAAAGTGATTAGTATGGATCAAGGCATGCCCGAGAGCATTTGCCTCAAGGTCGCGTGGAGCGACCAACAAACAGTAGCTTCCACCTTACAAAACCCAAGGTCCCATACAAGACTAGTACTCCCGGCACGGCGAGGCTTGAAAACAGCACTGCCTCTTGCAACGACGACATTGAGGTTGTGCGACGACGCCTTGAAAGCTCAATGCCACCATCGTAGCTGTTAATAGGCATTCTTCCATCTCCAGAATCAAGCAGCACAAAATCCCCTCCCTCTACGCTGCCCGTACGACAAACGACCAACCCTCGTATATGATCTGGCCATGACCCCTCTCTAACTTGGATACTCACCATTGTGGCCTCAACTGCTCTACAAGTCCAGCACATGTCAACTCAAGCTCCCCATGTTTGCTGGACAAACATCTGCGGAGCATGCACAGTGTGGTGCATAAAGACCCTTAGGCTCAACACCTTATCCTCAGCCTCTGTTTTTCCTTTTACCTTTAGTTCAACTTCAAACGTTACTGGATCAATTACCACAACTGCACGAGATGGGCCTGTTAACAGCAGGTGTGAATCCTGCAGGCATCACAACCAATTGATTATTACTAAAACTTGGTTCCCTCCGTATAATAAGGATCCAGTATGCAACCAATCCATGCAGTTATTTCCTACGAGCCCATGTTAAAGACGGTCCATCACAAAACTTCTATTTCCATAGACAAGGTAAATGCAATAGCTTTGCTACCAATAAAAGAAAGTATGCCATAATATTGCCTAAAATAAACAAACCTAATTTATGTTTTGCATGCAATATGCTATTCATTTATTTGCAACAGTGAGTGCTCATCTTGGTTATACATGTGGCAATACTGCTATGTTTGGCTGTTGATAATATTAACTATCATCACAGGTTGATTTATAGAAAACTGTGGTAGGAAGAGTTGACACAGCAGATTCAATGCCAACACCACGAGTGGATTATTTCAAAAGGAGTATAGGTATAGGTCATAGTGGTGCCAATTCTATCAACTCACAGTGTGTTTAGTTCGCGAAAAGAAAATTTTTAGGTGTCACATTGGACGTTTGACCGGATGTCGGAAGGGGTTCGGACATGAATGACAAAACTAATTTCATAACTCGCCTAGAAACCGCGAGACGAATTTATTAAGCCTAATTAATCCGTCATTAGCACATGTGGGTTACTGTAGCACTTATGGCTAATCATGGATTAATTAGGCTCACAAGATTCGTCTCGCGATTTCCGTGCAAACCGTGCAATTAGTTTTTTTTATCTATATTTAATGCTCCATGCATATATCCAAAGATTCGATGTGACGTTTTTGGGAAAAAAAATTTGGGAACTAAACAAATCCTCAGTTTTTAGTTTTTACCAATGAATTATGTGAAAAAAGAGTGGTAAGGAAAAAAAATTGCAAACATGCCTTCAATTGACAGTTTAGGTGCAGCCAGCCTATGAATGCACTAATAACTCCAAAAAGACAACATATTTATACAAACAAGTGTACAGAACAGTAGTAATCTACTAGTATGATAGGTTGAGCACTTCAAGCTGCAAAAGAAAAATGAGAAAACAATAAAGGTATAAGGAAATTACAAGATAGATACCTGTGGAGTGAGAATTTGACAATTATCCCTTGTGCACCTGAAAAGAAGGTTGCGCCTTTGATCTACAGAGTCCCTGGTGGCAACCAAGCCATACACATGCAGCGGCCAGTCAAGACCACCTTTTGCTTCTTTCACTTGGAGAGAGAAGATCTGCAAGGTATCACCACAGCAAGCATATCTTGGGATAGGTCCCTCCGTATAGCGCATGGGACATACGGTTGCTGCAGTCAAGTAGCAGTAATATTTATTATCAAATAATAGCATTGTGGATGCTATTGTTGTGTCCCATTTTTGACTCAAAAATCCAAGTTTTAGTTAAATGATTGATGTGACAATGTGGATAAGCACATATATGGAGTACTAGACATTAACCTTGATGAGAATGAGGAGTAAGATGAACAACATATCAAGACTGCTCTGAGCTCAATCCCAACATACCATCTCACAGTTCTACGTACAAAAATGGTTGATCAAGAAAATTGACAGAATTAGGAGAGCCTTTTTGTGGAAAGGGTAAGACCCAGAAAATATCACCCCTGGACACAGTTTGGTAAATTGGGCGACTGTATGCCAGCCAAACCAAGAAATTTGGGTGGACCCATTTTTGGAGCTGCAGGAGTTCGCCAGGGCCCTTCGCCAAATGGAGGTTCCTTGTGATACAATCAACAAAGAACCTTTTGCGGCGGCAGCTACCATCACGTTGGGTGACGGGAGTAAAGCTACCTTCTGGAACGATAATTGGATGAGTAAATTTCATAAAACCACATATACTTTGCATGATCTATTTAAGAGCTTGTTTCATAAAACTACAAATTCAATATATTCATTTATCACAAAACTACATGCACTTTGCACAATATTTCACAAAACTACATATTTAAGAATTTATTTCACAAAACTACAGATTTAATATATTCATTTATCACAAAACTACAAGTTTAGTGTCTTCATTATCACAAAACTACAGGTATTAGCATTGTCAAAATATGTAGTTTTGTAATAATGGAGACACTAAATCCGTAGTTTTATGATAAATGAAGACACTAAATGTGTAGTTCTGTGATAAACGAATACAATAAATCTATAGTTTTGTGAAACAAGTTCTTAAATATATAGTTTTATGATAGATTATACAAAGTACCTGTAGTTTTGTGATAAACAGAGACATTAAATCTGTAGTTTTGTGAAACAAGCTCTTAAATATGTAGTTTTGTGATAAATTGTGCAAAATACCTGTAGTTTTATGAAATTTACTTGGATTCAGAATGGGAGAAAAAAGGATCTGGTGCCAGGTCTGTTCAAACTAGCAAAGAGAACAAACAACTCTATTCTAGTTGAAATATCTGACAACAGATTTCCTGCTAAGGCCCCTAACAACAATTGAAGAAATCAATGAACTAGTTTGGATTGCAGATCTATTAGCTGGGGTTAAACTGCAGCCAGGGATAAAAAATGACATCATATATGGCAAAAAGCGCGTATCTTGCACAATTCACTGGAAGTGTGTCATACTCAAATTTTACCAGCCTCTGGAAAGCAAACAACGAACCAAAGCACCAATTATTTGGTTGGCTATTGTTACACCACAAGGTACTAGCAACCAAAAATTTGCTTAAAAGACATTGGCCATGTAATGAGATTTGTACTCTCTGCACTAAAGCTTTTTCGAGGACACCAATCATCTTGCTAAGGAATATTCCTTCACGACCAAAGTGTAGGAAATGATTCGCTAAAAACTACAGATCACAGCAATGAACTCAACCTACACTTGTCTATCAGATTGGTGGAACAAGTCAAGTGCAATGACACCATGTGAAAACAGAAAGGGAGTATTGGGAGCTTTGCTTGTTACGTGGTGGAATATCCGGCTTGAAAGAAACATGAGGGTCTTCCAGGACCAACCCAAGAACAAGGTGGTTTTCTTGGTGATACAAGACGTAAACGAGCTACCCTTAGCGTTTAGTGCTGATACCCTCTAATGCGGATTTTGATATGCAAGTTGCTATTCTTGGCGCTGTAGATATCCTATTTAGTATGTACTAAACTAGACTCTATTTGTTGCTTCTTCTAATGTATTTAGCTAGCAGATCTCCTGCCTGCTACTTTGAAAAAAAAAAAAGAAGATAAACAAACATACAAAATTAGGGATTATTGCTCCAATAAGTAGGGAATCAGCAACTAATTGATATTCCACTTTAATTCTGTCAGAATTCATTGTGCTAGATGAAGGGGAAAAAAAAGACAAATTGGCTCAGATTATTTAACATGCTTTTGCGGCCCAATATATATATGAAACATAATTAGTTGGCACCACGTCAGATAATCTATCGGATCTGGTTCAAATTTAATCTTTCTAGTATCCTGTTGTGATTAACAGGATTTGTACTGTGATGGTTTATAGAGTGTAATTAGGAAAACCTAGCACTTGTTTCACATGCTAAATGTGTTGCATATATAGTTGAGGACACACAAACACAGGTATTTAGCCTGGCAATCTCTTAACCCAAAATAAAACAAGACACTTGGAACAACCAGAATTGGAGCACAAATAGATAGTGGTATATACTCCAGTATATAATGGTGATACGAAACATGATAGATAGATTCGCAGAAATAATCTTGATTGCGTTGAAGTAAAGAAAGAAACGGAAGCAGAATAAAACGGCGGGGCGGAGGAGGATTTATTACTTACTGGTGTCGTTGAAGGAATAGCGAGGGGTAAAGCGATGTTCCCAGCTGACACGGAAGTCTCGCGCCGTTATCAGCTCGGCCAACTCCTCATCTTCCACCTCCTCTTCATCTTCCAACTCCAACTCCAACTCCACTAGACGCTGCTCCTCCGAAATAATCTTGCCGCTCATCATCTTCAACTTTTCCCCCATGGGGTCATAGGACGACTGCTCCTCCCCATCCACCAAAGGAAGCTTCATGCTGCTCACCATCTTTCTCACCGACTCCAATTTTTCCCCCTCCGCCGCCCGTTCGTAGGGCTAGCTCTATAATTTCAAGGGCCCTACGTGAACTCGGTGACATAGGCCCTTAAGGTTAAATATTTTTTATTTGTAATATGTAACTGTGGTCTAATCTCTAAAGTGACAAAAACAATATTACTAACATAGTAAATAATAAATCAACTAGTTGTAAATTGTTATATAATATTTTATTCTTGATAAACAATGTTGATAGTATATTAGACAATAAAAAAACCACAGAAATAAAGTAGTCTGAATAACTTATATAAATAGAAATTGAAGACAACAAGATCCGATGTGTATTGTAAAAAAGAACTTCTAGTTCTCTTTCTTTGCAAATCAATAAAGTTCTTTAGTTTCTTTAGCAAATTAATCGACAAATGCTTGTCAAGTAATATTGTACTAACACCTAAAATAGTGGACTTGCCATGTAAGTAAATCAAAAGAAGAAGAAAATCATAACCTAAATTTTGGAGTAAATAGATTATAGATGCAGTGAGCCTTTTTTGCAAACAAGATCAAGAAGCGGAGACTACCTGGCTGCTGGTTTTGCACTTATGCTTGACTTGTCTTCTCTCGTCGTCTCGCTGCAAAGAGAAGGGACAGATCGAGGGTTGCGGCCGTCGCGGTCAGGGAGAAAAGAGAGAGCGCCAGGACCCACAAACCGCCACATCGCGCGTTGCCCTCGATCTCAATACTCGATTCCTGCCAAGTGACTGGGCCTGTTGGGTTGGAGGTGGTGATGGCCCCCCCTCCACTCTGGCCTTAGGCGGTCGCACAACTCGCCTAGGCCCAGGGCCAGCCCGGCGCCACAGATTAGGGCTCCTCCCCCTCCTAATTCTTTTTATTTTTATTAATATACATTCCGAAAAATATTTCTAAAAATTGAACCAACGATTGTTTTGCCACGCCAGCTATGCGTGACGTGACAAAGTGATTTAGTCACGATCTGGTGTGGCCAAAAGGTTCAGATTTGCAAATACTTTTCGGAAAAATAAAATTAAAAAAATAAAAAGGTCTGAAAAAAACTATCCGAACTGAGATTCTCTGCCTTCAAAGACACCGTGTCTATGTCACGGACAAGCGGGTCCATGGTTTATCGGGTCCACACATCTTCGAAGGTAGAGGAGCCTGATCTCTCTCCCCTCCCAATCCGGTCCCACCCCTTCTTATGATTTGGAGTACTCTGCAGAAAGTAGGTTGTACAAGTTTCATTAAAAAAAACTTCCTTTAGTGATTTCCCACTCATATATTCCGAACTGCTTCAGATTTTAAACTAAATTGTTTTCTAATTTTCTTTCATAAACAAATAAAAAGATTGCACGTCAGTAATTAGAAGAAATAGAGTATTTTTGTTACACAACGTAACCAACCTAAGACCGGTCGTTGCCGGTTACAAGGAAATGATTTTGAACGGTATATAATAAATAGCTTAGATACATGCCAAATCAGCTGGTTAATTTGCTATGCTAGCTATGCACGATATAATAGTAGAAAAATTTATACGATCTCTCATTTTTCAACTTCTATTCCCTTGTTTTCTTGTTTTCTGTATGATAACCGGTGTTTTCTTAAAAAAAAAATTATAAGAAATTTGTTTTTAAAAAGTTATATTAATATTTTTTAAAATGTTTATATCTAATACTTAATTAATCTATGCTAATGAGCTATTTCTTTTTGCGTGCAAGGTCCTAATTGCATCTTCCGTACACACCCAAAATATTTTCTCAACGAATACGAGTATTTCACGTAAATTACGAGAATTTCACGTAAATTTATCTTCTCTTATATATTTTTTCCTTTGAAATCTATTTTTTTTAAATAACAAGTTGTTACAAAATCAGGAGCTCTGTGTGCCGGTATCAATTAAAGATCCTTTCGAGAACTATTTTATTTTTTAAAAAAAACTTAAGGTGTTTAGAACATACTTAACCATTACAGTCACAAAATTTAAAAAATAGTAGGTCTCACAAATAAAACGCGCTTGGCGTTTCAGTATTATTTGATTTTACCAAGGAAATGCATGCCGTATGTTACTCAAATATAAGCCGTCCTCTACCATATTACTTCCTACTTCCTCCGTTTCATAATGTAAGTCATTCTAGTATTTTTCACATTTATATTGATGTTAATGAATTTAGACATATATATCTATTAGATTTATTAATATTAATATGAATGTGGAAAATACTAGAATGACTTACATTGTGAAACGGAGGGAGTACATAACATGATTGCACTACCGTATTTCTTCTATTGTTCATACTCATTACTTATTTTCAAGTTTAGCTAATAGATAAAAATCTAGCATCTATATCCACGAGAACAAACAAAGGATAAATAAATACTTATATTTTAAATCTCATAAATAAGAAACAACAAAAGAAAAAGGAAAATGAAAATACTCGAAGGCTCATACCTTTCGTTGCCTAATGAATCCTACCACACCAAAAATTGCACCGAGTCGACATTGATATGTAGTCCGAACTCTTGGACCCCCCTCATCCATGTTCTATTCACATCTGACTAGCTCTTTCGTCACCTTGCCCCTGTCATTGGGCGAATCCAATTGATCCAAATCTAACAATTTCTATCCCTAGTGCCTTCCTTGCCCATGCCATCCAGTAGAGCTAGTGTTGACGAAAAAATCAAAAACACCGGCCTGGAAGATCTGCTTAACTCCTGTGCAGGTCCAAAGATTGATGAGATACGGGCGTGCCAGTCAGTTTGATCCTGCAACTGACAAGATATATAAACAGCAGATAAAACAGCCGATCGGCTGACAAGCCGATGTAGTGATTCCAGCCGATGCCGATACCAGCCGATAGCGATAGGGTTTAAGAAATCGGCTATATGTCCAATATAGATGATGATATAAAGGCAATCGGCTGATGTAATAAAATAACAATATAATCGAGTAGAAACCAATCGACTAGAAACAATATATAATAAACACTGATCCGAAGGTTAAAGCATACATCGACTGGAGGTCTGATGTCATAAAATCCACAAGATTATATTAAACAATTAAATTTTACTGCGATCGGCTAAATCCAATATGTATGCAATCCTTGTAAGCCGATGCAACGTCTAGATAACTCATCGGTTGAAACCCCGATGAAACTCTTATTGGCAATCAAGAAGCAGGTTAGAGATTATAGTTCTAAGCATGACTTAGTAGATCGAACTTAACTGATGCAGCACTAAGTATGAAAAGAAATATAATATCTAGACAATTAAGCCGTTGACTGATTTTCAGGGTGGTAGATGCCTAGGCTAATCTAATCTAGCAAGGCGAATTAGCTGATACCGGCAGAAACCCTAAAGCGAGAAACAGCCGATAGAGCTAAATTGAGATGTTAGGACTAGATTAACATAGACATATAATAAATAGCCAAGCAAATATATTATCCAAACCAGAGTAATCCAAGAGGTTGAATGTCCTGATGCAACCTTGAACAACACCGACGTAGACGATACAATTGCTTGGACCGGCGGAACATTGGATTTATCCCTTCGCCAGAGATCGAAGACGATGCAGCCCCGCGTCGGATGCCAAGTTCCGCCGGAACGTAAAAACAAAAGTAGAAGTAAAAAGGGTGGTGATGCGCCGAATTGTATTGATCGTAACGATAGATTACATAGACCCCGGGTATACATATTTATACCCATGAGTTGATACAAGTCCTTGTCGGACAAGAAAGAAACTTTCTTAAAGATAAAAGGAAAAGATAAAGTCCTTATAGGACACTAAACACACTTTTCTAAAGATAACAGGAAACTAACAAACTATTCCTAATTAATACATAACTTGCCATGCCGCATTCTCTTTGAACTTGGTCTCTTCTGGATAAGATTCCTTTAGTAGATCAATTTCCTTAACCGAATATAGCAAGAATCCGACAACTGACGACTTGGCAACTCTCATCGGCTAATCTCAGGACTTCAAAGCCGATGCTGACTCTAAGCCGATGACTACTCCGGGCTTACCAAATTTCACTATTAACAGCTAGAGAAGAAGCCCGTCCAACGCAGCTTGCCGCACATGAATGGGTTTGAGCATAGACATCTCAAATCTAGTGGCACTTAGGCCCCAGATCTAGTGTTATGCCCCATTTGTAGCCAGCATTGACAACCTACCTATCGTAATCCTGGCTATTAGGCCATCTTGGTGCAACAACCTTTTGTCACCTAGAGGGTGATTTGGCCATTAGGCCAGATCCATCCACCGTGTTGTCGGCATGTGTTCAAGGAGCCAACATTGAGAACCCGCCACCGCTGACTCCCACAGCCTTCATTGCCGCTTCGACACACCACCTTGTTGTCGCTGCCAAGGCGCCATTTCATTGCTGAGGACGTAGGGTAGACCGTCCGATGCGGCACAACAGAGCTGACCTCCTTCTAGAGGGTAGAAAGGCCACCATTACTACCGTCATCACCAACACTTGTTGCGGCATCCTGCCTTGCCACCAAACCATTCATGGTCCCTAAGGAAGTCAGGCTTGAGACGGGGCAGATCGATCACCTTCAAGCTCAGCACCTGTACTGATGCTTCCAGCCTTCCATCACATTCGCAACACATCACGGCGCCCGAGCGCCTCTCCAGCCCTTGTTTGGTTCTCGCACGAATAGGTGTGGACAGGAAGCTCGTGGCTCGTTAGCTCGCTTGGCTCGTGACAGGCTCGGCTCGGCTCGTTTGAATTTCTTAACGAGCCGAGCTGGCATTTTAGCTTATTAGAGATTACGAGCCAGCTCGAGCCGGCTCGCGAGCTGCTCGCGAGCCTTAACGAGCTTTCATAACCCAGCAACAACAGGCAACCCACAAAGCCCACAAGGATAGTAGGCCCATTAGAGCAAACCCTAGTCCTCACTCTGTGTCTCAAACTCTCCATCTCTCCGCCGCCAGTCCGCCTCCACCACCAGGCACCATCGCGTCGTGCCAGCCGCTCACTGCCCACCCAGGCCGTTCTCCCCGAGCGATCGCCGCCGCCGCCCGTGCCACTCTCCCTCAGTGCCCGACGCAGCCGCGAACGCTGCTCTTCCCCGGCACCCGGCGCCACCGTGGATGCCGACGCTCGCGCCGCTCTTCCTCGGCGCCCGGCGCCACCGTGGATGCCGACGCTCGCGCCGCTCTTCCTCGGCGCCCGGTGCCACCGTGGATGTCGCCGTCCGCGCCGCTCTCCCCCAGCGAGGCAGCGACCGACGCCGCCATGGACGCTGCTGCCCGCACCGCTCTCTCCCAGCGAGGCAACGACCGACGCCGTCGCCCGCGCCGCTCTTCCCCAGCGCCCGACGCCGCTGTGGATGTCGTCGCTCCCCCGGCGCCTCTCCTCCCCTTGTTCGCTTTCTCTCTTGTTCCCAAAGCTCACGAGCTATACGAGCTAGCTCAAGCTTGCAGACGAACCAAGCCGAGCTTGGTTTCTAGCTCGTTAGGATAACGAGCCGAGCCAAGCTAGCTTGTTATCCTAACGAGCTAAACCGAGCTGAGCCGAGCTGAGCTAGCTCGACATCCACCCCTACGCACGAAGCAGTGCCACCGCCGACCAGACTCATCACCATCACCGACGAGGTGGATTTGAAAAGGCACAACCGGATCTAGAGAATCAAGAGAGAGGAAAAGGGAAAAATGGAAGGAGAAAGAAAAGAGGGGGGAGATGGAGAGAAAGAGGGGAGGGGTGGCACTGTCGCTCCCATGGTAGCATCATTGACAGCCTTAGCCTGGGTCGGTGTTGTTTTTTGGTCTCCCGTGTCTACTTTAGACTCTACATATTCAGAATATGCATTTTTTTTGACCTAGCGAATATGCATATTACAATTCCCCAATGGGGTTGTAAAGGTAAAATTGTATGAAAAATTGACATCGATGAAAGGGTTCGAATCAGTGCGTGCAATGCACAGGTCTGTCTCCATAACCACCGGACGCATTGATATTTACGCGTGAAGCCTCGTGTGCATTTTGACATATTGCACTGCACATTGGAGAAAGATGACAAGCTCGCATTGTACTGTTCGTTTCGCTTGAATGGGCCATGCAGTACGCAAATGACAGATGGAAATGACTTGTATGGATCAGCAAAATACACTATTTTTAAGTAGGCCAGCAAGATACTTACGACCTACTTGTAAGTTGTAACGGTGTAAAAAAGGTGATTGCGACAATGGCAAACGAATAAAACGTGTTAAATAACCGTCTACTCACCTATTCTAGAGGTTTAGTTTGAAGACGATATAATGTGACGAAAAACAAACTGAAGTTGTGTCCTCGACTGGATTAGCTCTTTTTTTAGGCTCATTGTTATCCTCAATTTCCTCTTGTTCATGTGCTCTTTCTCTCTTCAAGTAGAAACCGATTTGCTATTATTTGATTGATTTTAGGTCTCACAACGCCATCTTGCAAGCCAAACAACTGCCTCGGCACAACCAAGATTCTATCATTGTGGCTAGGTGGTGACTTCATTGTTGCTTTTAGGCTTCCGTGTGCTGAGGGAAGGGTCCCATGGATGACATTGTTGGTGTGGGTCGACGACTTGTGTTTTCCTAGGCAGCTTGAAAACCCAAGCACATTGTAATGGAGCAATGCATCTGGACCATGCAGTTGGAGGTAAGGCAAAGTTGTTTGGGCATGACGGCGTCTGTTGATGGATGTGGATGTTGTGCAGGTGACGCTGCAGATTGCATATGGTATGGGTTTTGCAGCATAGGTTTATACACGACCAGTTCATATACATAGAAGATTAATTAGGCTCAACCATTTTCTCAATGGTTGATGAGATTATTTGCTCATGGAAAAATCTAGGTATCACGGGCCGTGTTTGGAAATAAAATAAGACTTGAAAACGTTTCTTGAGGGGAGAGTAATCGGTAATAGAACTAGAAATTAAAGCATATGAGATGGATAAAAGATGTAGGTGCGACGAATGGAAAATTTCTAATTATTTTCTAAAGTAGGCTAGGTTGGATATTTATTTACTATTACCAGTAGTTTATAGTGTTTGCTTTTTCTCATATATTTTGAGCGCAATTTTTTTTTTTTTGTGTGTGTGTTGTTGGTCGGGTGGGGTCGCCGGCGCCGCTTCTGGACCTCTCGTGGTGGTGGTGGTGGCCTCTTCTTCCTCCTCCGCGGCCGGGGACGGGGAACTACCCCCCGCCGGCCGCCGCAAATCCTCCTGCTCGTCGTCGTGGTGAGCTATGTCCGGGTCGGAGCACCCCATGGTGGCCGCCGCCCGCGCCGCCCTCGCCCACCTCCAACTTCCCTTGCCCCCCGCCCCCGCCGGATCCAATATGGATCATCATCTTCTTCCTCATTTCCTCCACAGGTCTCCCCCCTCTCCATGCTTCCTCCTCCTCCGCACCCAACACAAGCCTAAACCGCCGCAGCCGCAGCTCCACCTCCTTCTCTGCACTGCTTTCGATTCCCTGGCCCATAGCCTGCAGGAGGTCCTGGACAAGCACAAACCAAAGCTACATCTGGACACATTATTCCTCCATGGAAACCTCCCTTTCGCAAAGGTTGGGGTACCGCCGCCTCCCCCGCCACCCGCACCCCTCCTCTCCCCACCGTCTGTCTCCGCCCACCACCAACACCAACCTGCAACTCCAACTGAAACCGAAACCGAGGACACTGCTGCTAATGACTCTCCACCACCACGGACCCTGCCTGTTCGCCTGCTCAACATCCCTGTTGACCGCCTACGCTCCACACTTTCCACACTTTCACTCACCGAGTTGATTGACCTAGTTCCACACCTGGTTGCTAGGTCCTTGCCATCCCCTGATACTCATCCAGACAAGAAGAAACTCTTCTCTGTACACCACTTCTTCCGATATGCAGAATTTGAAGGTACATGATACCATCTTCATCTTCATCTTCACCTTCATTTGTCATATTCTCCCATCACCATAAATGCCTTATGCACTGTAACCTCGTTTGTTAATTATTACTGGCCTATAATGGACACACTTGATTGATATCCTTTTTGACTCTCTACACCTCAATTCTTTTTAGCAATACAGCCAATACTGTACCTCAGTTTGAACAATATTGTTCTTGTCTCATGACATCTAATAACATGATAGCATTGTTATGTCAATAAGACAAGTCACTAATTCTAACAACCGTAGGATAAATGCTGAATTTAGTTTCTTACAAAGATTCACATGGTTTTGTTCAAGTACGCAGATATAGGATATGGTGTTTTCTCTAACTCAGTATTCTTCTGGTTTTACCGAGAAAATGCATGCAGTATGTGTTACTTAAATATTACCAGTCCTCAACCTTATTACTTCCAGCACAACATGATTGTAGTATCTTATTTCTTTTGTGCGTTCATACGCACTACTTCAGACTCTTCAGATTCAGAATATGCATAACACAATTCCCCAATGGTGTACAATCATGTACAGATAACTAGAGCTCCAGATATTGGCTTGATGCTGTTGGTATGACATTGATATCACTGAAATATTATGTCTGATGATGTTACTTTGTTGTTCTATTGGAAATAGATGGAGGTAACTCTTGCATGTTGATATCCTAAGCTCTTTTTTGTTGCTTCTGCAGGAAAGCGATTCTTTGAGGAGTTAGACAGAGATGGTGATGGTCAAGTCACCCTGGAAGACCTTGAGATTGCAATGAGAAAGAGGCGATTGCCAAGGAGGTATGCTCGGGATTTTTTACGGCGCACCAGAAGTAACTTGTTTTCAAAATCAATTGGGTGGAAACAATTTCTATCCTTGATGGAGCAGAAGGAGCCAACAATATTGCGGGCATACACCACCCTGTGTTTGAGCAAGTCTGGGACACTTCACAAAAATCAAATTCTCACATCTTTAAAAGGTGCAGGCCTTCCGGCCAATGAAGATAATGCTGCTGCCATGCTGCGGTACCTAAATGCAGATTCAGAAGAATCAATCTCCTACAGCCATTTTCGCAATTTCATGCTCCTGCTTCCTTCAGAGCGCCTTGAAGATGACCCTCGGTATGTTGATGTCTTGCGTTAGAATCCATGTTTGCATCTTTGAACCATTACACAATAACCCTTTCCTCATCTAAATTGATATCTGACCAGTCATGAAAATAATAACATGTTCTTGACTATCTTCTCATGGCATTAGATACTAACCTTTCCACTTAACTCATTTATTCACTTGTGAATGCATTTAGGAACATTTGGTTTGAAGCTGCTACTTTGGTTGCTGTTCCTCCACCGGTAGAAATATCAACTGGAAGTGTTCTGAAGTCTGCTTTAGCTGGAGGTCTTGCTAGTGCACTTTCTACCTCCGTGATGCATCCCATTGATTCAATGAAGGTACACAAACTTGTTACTTTTTAACCCTTTTAGTGTAAACAACTTAACCGATAGCACTGATTCAACAGTGTGTTCACTTGATGGCATTTGTTAGAAGAGGATGTCTTAATGACAGAGCAAATAAAATCCAACATACTAAATTTTAGATAATTATGACAAACACCATCTGCTTCTAGCAGGTTCCATGGGAATATCATGGGATGCAATCAAATAGAAATTTATACAAAGCATACTACTGGCAGGAGCTTTTTATTTGTACTATTTCTTTTTCCAGTTTTTCCTCTATGAATGATCGCCCTTCACTCAAGGCATTACCTACAATGAACTTGCCTTACTTTTTTTAGAAAGTCGATAATGAATTTACTTGCTAGATTTTATGCTAATGGATTTTTTTTTTGCTTGAGAAATTCAACAGTTTTATGATATTTCTGATTCAAGCTCTTTATTTTCTAAACTGTATCAGACACGTGTCCAAGCATCTTCTCTTTCTTTTCCTGATCTCATATCAACACTTCCACAAATTGGGCTCCGAGGACTTTATCGGGGTTCTATCCCCGCAATTCTTGGTCAGTTTTCAAGGTTAGTGTCGATTCAGAGTTTTAGAGGCAAATTTGAATGTAGGCTGCATATTCACATCCTGCCATTTGCAGCCATGGTTTGAGAACAGGAATATTTGAGGCAAGCAAGCTTGTGTTAAAAAGTGTTGCTCCAACACTTTCAGATATTCAGGTATGCTTTCCTATTCCTTGTGCAAAATTTTGCATGTGCTACTAACTGTGTCATTGGCATGGGTATGTGGAATCCCATACCCACCTTGTCAGTCTCAACAACAGAAAATGTAACCTGTGTCAAGCCCTCTGCTACATTAGTTATGGCTTTTGACCAATCTTAGTTCATCAAGAGCTAATTATTCTCAGAAAATTGAGAGCTGAGTCTAGTCATCATGAAACTTGTCTGCCTCAATGAACTTAAAATTTTTTGACCTAGTATATTGGCCGAGAAAATGTTGCATATATGAAAATCTGATGATAGACATGTTTGTTTCGCAGGTGCAATCACTCTCTTCCTTCTGCAGCACCATCCTGGGAACAGCAGTCCGTATACCTTGTGAGGTTCTTAAGCAGCGTTTGCAGGCTGGAATCTTCAATAATGTAGGGGAGGCCATTGTTGGTACCATGCAAAAAGATGGTCCAAAGGGCTTCTTCCGTGGCACTGGGGCCACTCTTTGCCGAGAGGTTCCTTTCTATGTTGCTGGAATGTGTCTTTATGCAGAAGCTAAAAAGGTATTGTGAGTTCTTATTGTTTCTTTGGACCATACCTTAAAATTGGTTTTCTTCCATCTATATTTTGTTGACTGAAAGGTGCAGTGAGCTGCCTTTGTTTAATGCAAGCGAAAACTACTTGTACTTTGTTTTTATTCCTCCCAATCTTAATGAAATTTGGGCGCCGGTTCCTTCTACCGACCCGGCAAAAAAAAAATCTGTTCTGCATATTTGAATTTCATGCTTCTGAAATGGCATCTCAATGGAGTTTTTCTTCTATCCACCTGTCTATCAATGATGTCATTGGACTGAATTATTTGGCTTGTTTTATTTTCCTCAAAGATTGCCCACAGTAAGGTTGTTTTGTTTTCTTCTGCATGTATTACTTTTCTCTGATCACTATTTTTCTTAAGAAGTTTAATTTTGTTCGACTGGATATACAAAATACAAAAATATAGTTACGGGGAAGTTGCTGAACCTTTTCTTTTAATGGACTGAGATCTGTATAATATCTAGTTCTGTTGCAATGCCATTAGATTCAGAACTATGCCCTGTGCCTTGACGAATTTAATGATCATGTCATATGCTCTTGTTATTGTAGGCGGCACAGCATGTGTTGAACAGAGACTTGGAACCATGGGAAACTATTGCAGTGGGAGCGTTGTCTGGAGGGCTTGCAGCAGTTGTCACAACTCCCTTTGATGTGATGAAGACTCGGATGATGACTGCTCCACCAGGCACCCCAGTCTCCATGCAGTTGATAGTTTTCTCCATCCTTCGAAATGAGGGACCTCTCGGACTGTTCAAGGGTGCGATCCCCCGCTTCTTCTGGATTGCTCCTCTCGGAGCAATGAACTTTGCAGGCTATGAGCTCGCCAAGAAAGCAATGATCCAAACTGAGAGTGACTCCGCAGACTCTGTACATGAGAAGAGAACCACAGTGGGTTCCAGAGGATGACAGATCCAAATTCACCTGGTTACTCTATATGGTGTAAAGAAAGGACAAGCCATGCAACAGAAATGTTTTTGCCCTTGTTGCAAAGAATTAGAACCATTTTTTGGCATTGCCTTCGTGATACATGTACCAAATGTTAGGTCCTTCTATATCCTTCCCATCCTCCCCAACAGAGGGAAATTTGTCGAATTCCCATTACCATAGGCCTTCATTATACCACTGTATAGTAGATGACAACTACAGGAGTAGACGTGCTGCCCTTTCTTGCACAGTTCACTTCATCTGTTGTTATTTCTTTAGTAATCCAGAACCTTGATGACATGTTCATTAACCCTCCTCGTGATTAGTTAGCTCAGTTGTGACAAGTCCATGAGTTACACACTGTGAGTTATTTGAGATGTTAAAAAGATATCAGAGACAGCATTGTTACGATAAGCATGAGCAAGTTATGATGAAAATATCCATTAAACTAGCATGGCAATTGAACAGGCTCGCCAGGATTGAGCCCTTCAACTTCAGCTAACTGCAAAGGTTGATGTCTGGCACAAATAGGATCCCATGAAGTAGCAACATTGGATGGCTAGGTAAAAATAAAGCGAAAGCGAAAAGTACGGGGATTGTCCTGCTCAACTACTGTACTAATAACTAGATATTAGTAGCTGTAGAAGACGACATTGACACTAGCGATTGTATTGATAGAAGTGGCCATGGTGACGGTCCCCTCCATCATACTGACGATGGTAATCCACATTGTACTGAAGGCCTTCTCCAACATAGTAATTATTTTCGTCCTCATCATAGTAGTCATCATATTCATCTTCAGGATCATCATGGATAGCAGCATTGCCTTGAGGATCATCACGGATAATGTTGCGTTCATCCCACAGTGGACAAGAGCAGGTCGCTTTCTTCTCCTTCCATTCTTTTCCACAGGTGTAGCAGAACTCATAGCCGCACCTGTAACAGGCATGAACAGGATGAATGAAACGTTCAAGTGAATCTGAGCATTAGCATATGAGAGGAAGTATCAAAGATTTTGGAGGCAGATCAATGTTGAATTGTTAGTAAAGGTAATAATAATATGAGGATGGCAGACTCAATGTTGAGGAGAAAACACCTACACGCAAGTCATATGGTAGCAACCCTCTGCTAGTTCAATCATGTGCTTGCATCGGATACATTGACGCCATAACCGCTGCCGTGCAAGGTTCTGTAGATAGGCATCTTCTAGACGAGCATGGGGGTACCTCCTCTTGTAGTCATAACAAGTCATCTGATGATGCCATGGGACCTTACAGCTAATGCAGAAAGAGCCACTGCATTTGACACACTTCCTCAATGTGGCAGCATCAACAAGAGTGTACTTTGAGGATGATGCTTGCATTGGATGTATCAGTTCTCTCATGGACATCAAGGCTGAACACTTGGGATATGGGCAATAAATCTTGTGAGTTGGAGGAATTTGTGCTTCCCTGATACGCTGCACCATGATCGCTAATAACCGTGGAGATAGGAACATCTTTGAACCCTCCACAGTTTAGCTTGGTAGTGCAACCATCTTGTGGGCAAGCTGGGAGCATCCCATGAAGTAGCTTAACTTTGACACGCTCCTTCATGCAGGAGAAGCAAAAGCGATGCGCGCAGCCTTCAACTGCATGAATCTTAGAGACGTCAGTGTCTTCCAAGCAGATGGTGCAGTTCTCTTTTTTCTCCTTGCCAGCACTCACAGCAGCAGCTTTGGCAATTTGAGTATGCAGAGAATCTGTTGCTAATTTTGTGACATAGTTGACTTGGGTTCGTGCAACACAGAGGATCTCACATTGCTCAAATTTCTGTTTTGTTGAGAAAGCCTCATTGATCAAATCCACAAGCCTCTTCTGTCTTGGGCGCCATATACCACTCATCTGCAATCCCAATTCCCAACATCATTAGGAAATAAACACCAGATTGTATGTATTGTATCTATCAACAATCATGTAGTGCACATCATAACAAGACCAGTGATAGACAAAAAAATAATTGAATCATTCTTTTAGCATGAACAGAAAGAATATCTATCAATGAATTTACATGGAAATTTATCAAGGTATTTAAATGGAAAGAAGCTGCAGCATTTCTTTAAGATCGAAATTTATCGAGGAAGGCATTTCCAAATGAACAGGCACTGAAACAAACTAGTATGCTGAAACATAACAAGACACCATGTGCTGGAGTATTGGAGAATATAATATTTTTGAGTTAACAGGACAACAACATACTACCCGTAGTCAAGGCAAATCAATATTAATATGGTTACGATGAGAGCAAGCATAGATAGTACATTACATGGTTGTGCAGCGGCTTGTTGTCAGTGAGGACGTTGAGGGTCCGGATGCCGAGGGCGAGCGCCGCATTGAGGCCTTCCACCAGCGCCATCGCCTCCAGCATCATCCGCCCTTGCTGCGCCTGCGCCTGCACGGGCTTGTGTATCCGGAGCACCACCTCCCCCCTTGGCCCGCAGATGGCGACGGCGAGCACCCCGACGCCAGGGTCACGGTCACGCGGCCCCACCACCTCCCTGCTCGCCATGCCCTTGAACAGCACGCGGAAGAGCGCGCCGCCTCCTTCCAGGGGGAGGGGCCGCTCGAAGTAGTCGCCGTCGTGGGCCCACCTGTCCTCCGGGATGGCGGCGAGGTCGCGCGCGAAGAGGGCGTCGTGCGCGGCGACGCGGACGGAGGCGGCGGCCCGGGCGTGGTAGGCGCGGCAGGCCTGGGCGTCGCGGCGGTCATGCTCGGCTCGCGCGAGGTCGGCGGCGTGGATTTCCAGGGCACATGAGGCGTCGGAAGGTTCCTCCGGTGGCGCGGGGGCGGCGGCATTGGAGGGTAGGGAGGCCTGGATGGCCTCGGTGAGCTGGAGGTGGAAGGCGAGGTCGTGGTCGGAGGCGGAGAGGGCGGCGGAGGAGGCGAGGGAGAGCTGGTGGTGGAGGGCGGCGGACATGATCGACTCCACTCCCACTGCCGTTTCTTTCCTTCTCAAAGAAGACTCAGAAACCAAAAAGGAAACCGCTGCTGGTTGGGCCTGGGCCTGGGCCGGCCCATCGATTATTGGCCCATGTAGATTTTCATTTCCCGCTGGCTGGCGACGCGAGGTTTCTTCTCCAGAAAATTCAACTTCAATTCCCCATCCAACTCAACCGCATCGCCGGCTCGCCGCCGCCGCCGCCGCCGCTCGCCGACGGTGTCGTCCTCGACTCCTCCGCCACCCACCTGCTCCATCTCCTCGTCTTCCTCTTGCCACATTCTCCTCTTCCTCTCCTCGCAGCTTCCTTCCCTGCCTCCTCCGCTACAAGCCAGATCCATCTCCGCTCACCACCGCCCTCGTCCACGACTCCGTGGGTAAGCACTACGGCCATCTTCTCCGCTACATCAGGCGCCTTCAACATGCCTATTTCCCCCTTTCTATCTTTTTCTTTTTTATTTATATATATAATTGCCCCCTTTCTATCTAGTGGAGTATCTTCTTGTGATTTAGATTGATAAACACAATATGTTTGCTCTTGTTTGAGAAAGGCAAAGTTTGCACTTCACGTGGACACCAAACATGTAAAGAAAAAATGGCAGTTCAAACCGATTCCTCTTGACTCAATTCAACTATAAATTGAAATCGAATCCATTTCTTGTGATACCAGGTATCCAAAAAGGACAAACAAAAAGTAAATTTCTTCTTCTCACTGGCACGCTCAGTCGTGAATCCACATGTAAATGGCCTCGCCGTGCCGCATCCCTGCAGCCACCGGTTCCGGTGAGCTCCCCCCCCCCCCCCAACCCCCTCTTTGCATTTGCACCTACTAGGGTTTGCCCTGGACTTTGACTTTCCAGGTATCCAATAAGCTTTACTTCTCTAATAATATCTTCATGGACAGGCAACAAAGAGAACAATATCTCCCAAAATCGACGCCATGTCTTGGATTGCCAAACCCCGTGCGAAGGCAAAGGCGTGGCTACCTCTAAAAAGAGGAAGAACAAGCCTGCAGGGGGGTTCAATCTCAGAAAAAGCATCGCATGGAATCCTGCTTTCTTCACTGAACAAGGTACAAGATTTCTTTCACAGCTACTAAATGCTTCCGGCAACTGAAAAACCTCTATGCTTCTGGCAGGCGTTTTGGATAACACGGAGCTTTCTATGCTTACTGGCTCCCAAGTGAAGGCAACTAGGAGCCCTGCCTCTGGATTTTCTTCTACCTTTTCCCCATTGTCTAGGTTTGGAAAATCTAGCAATACATCTGTGCTCAAGGAAATCGGAGAGAATTCTCGTGGAAAATTTCCTTCAAAATGTTTGAGTGCAGAAAACAAGGGAAGGAAGTTGTTTGCTTCCTCAAAAGCTTCTGAGCAGGATGAACGAAAAGCACTTGCGGTCAGTTCATCACATAGCATTTTGCTTACTTATGGTAATGCTATTATTAAAGCTCATGCAATTTCTCGTTTTCTTCTGGACAATTGCAGGGCACACAGGATAAAAGGTCAGCAAAAGCCATCCAAAAGTCCATTCCACGACCACCTGCAGGATATAAATATCCTTATGGAGATTTTGGGATTATTGGATGTCTTGTTTTTTTTTTCTTAACAGACTCATGCCAATTGTCTGGTTAATACTCTTTTCATAAGTTTCACTCTTATTAATTACACGTGCTATTGTTAGTCTTAACATAATTATACACCGAAAAAAGTGCCAAACTCAAGTGGTATAGCTCAAATACAAAGGATACCAAAGAAGTCTGAACCTTCTCCTTCTGTGGTCTCTAGAAGTAGAAGTACCTCATCTGTGACAAATGTTCCCAAACCAACAACAAGGCCAGCTACAGGTAATCTTGCTCATAGTCCTCACTCCTCAACTCTACCAATGAAATCTTCCTGACATATAACTTAGGTTTCAGCACTTTTGCATGTCACTATCACTAATTCAGCACGCCACTATTTTTCAGTTACAAGTGAGTGTACACATAAAGTAGAGGGGCTCCCGCTTAAATCGAAGACTGAGCGTTCATCTGTCACTAAATCTTCTGGACCTACCATAGGGAAGGACATGGTGAGTGATAGCGTCAATTACATTTAATCGAGGGGAAACTCTTAGTACACCTCTGTTATTTGAAGCACTGCCACTTTGTTGGATACCACTCAAGATCTCAAATCTTGCCCCTATATATGATACTGAAAACATCGTAACCTTAAAACTACTTTATGGTTGTTACATGCTTATTTACTTCAAAGGATGTAGCGGTGAATTTGAAAACATTGTAACCTTAAAACTACAAAGGATGTTACATGCTTATTTACTTCTACAGGTGCCGCCTACTGTTACTACCATCTGTCAAGAAACCAATGGTTCTGGGAAATGTGAAACTTTTTCACCATATTCACAAGATAACCCCTCCAGTTCTGTTGTCGCCCCTGCACGAATATCTGCTAAGCCATCTGCTCTCCGGATGCCTTCACCTTCAGTTGGCTTTTTCACTCAGGTAATCTATTATGCTCTTTCATACATATTCACTAATGTTGCTTCTTGTTTTCTCAGTGATATGAAAATAACGTGATATTTTTACAGCTACTTTGATGTATCAATATATTTCTCTTACACTTTAAGTGTTTACTTGCATCTAACCAGACGTTACAAATTAGTTACCTGAAAGCGCATTAAAAAAATAGCGGTGAATGATTTGTGTGTAATAATTGCATTTGTGGGTTACTGGATGATGAGGTGGTGTGAAAATTGTTTGAAACAAGAGATGGGCATCCTACAAAATGTATGTCTGAGTTGGTACAAAATTTTATTCTCATTCTTGGAGAAATTTTACTTTGGCCATCCTACAAAGTGTATGCCTATGTTTTATGAGATTTTTTTTTTTTTTGTGAAAATCTCCATACCTCATTTTTGACTAATTATTTCAGGGAAAAGCTTCTGTATCACATAGTGGTACTGCTCAAAGAAATCCAGAGAGGTGCTTTAGTGGAAATATTTCATCAGTAAAACCCCCCAGGTATAAGCAGCCTGTGGATCCAAAAAGCAGATTCCATCTAACAAAGCAGCTGCCAACCAATTTCTCTGCTGCTTCCAGTCTTCCTGTGCAACCTGCCACTAGTGACAGCACTCCCAACGTCTTGGCCTCTTCTCTACCTGGTGTTGAGGATGCGACAGTTTGTTCACTGAAGCAATCCTTATCGGAAAGTACTGTACCATATTCAGAAAAATCAGGGAATATAAGTTATCAAGAAATGCCAGATGATGATTTTTCGTTGGCTGGAAATGGAGCTACCACAGAGTTGAGTTTTAGAGATAATGATGATGGCAGAAATAGCATGCCCAATGAGTGCAGTGTTGCGCTGTCTGTCGGACAGGATCTTAATGCTATTTGCTGCTCAAGCACTGAGCCTGCTGAGGATTCTTGCTTTCTTAAAGTCATTTGCTCGTCAAGCGAACCTTCCGTGGGGAGTAACTTGACAACATCTTGCATTTCTTCTCCAGGGTGCACCCCAAATGATCTCAATTCTCAAAGCAAGTCTGACAATGGTGAAACAGCAGTTGACATAGAAAATTCACTCTCTGGAGAGACATCTGGTACAGTTTGTTCATCAGAAGGCAACAATTGCACTTCAGCTACAGATTCCTTGCAAAAATCCGATTCCTGCCATCAGCAGAATATGCTAGTTCAGTCTATACATTGTACAGATCAAATACCACAGTTTGATAGTTCAACAGGCATAAAACCATCTTTAGCATACAGCCAGTTAGACTCCAACAATTCTTTGTGTAGTGAAGTTCAGCTTACTTCATCAGAAGGACCAGATATTGATAGTGAAATGGAGCTTGATACAGATGATTCATTCACTGTGGAGGAACCTCCCCTGTTACATGTAGGGGATGAATGTGACCATGATTACAGGAGTGCAGAATGTTCACATATGAACCTGGCAGCGCCTTCACCTTGTGTAGATCAAGAGGCACTAGCTGGCAATTTGACAGAAAAAGTAGATACAGCTGACGGTAGAACAGAATCACATCACTGTTCGACCCAGGAAAGACGACCTATTTTATCAGAAGAACAAGATACTGAAGACAAAATTGGGTTTGACACCAAGTTGTCGTCTTCAGAGGGTGCATCAAGTATAGAGTATGTCTGCATCGAATATTTGAATGTACAAAGTTAGTCATCTACAATTATATATTGCATTGATAGCGTGTCATTCTTATATTTCTGCAGGAGGATTAAGTCAGTGGGTAAATCAAGAACAAATACCATAAGTAAAGATCATCTAAAAAACTTGGTACCGTTTACAGAAGAATGGCTTGCTGTCATGGAAGCTTTTGGAGAGGTCAGTTTACTTGCATCATGGACATTTTGAGCTTGTCAGGTTGTCATTTACATGAGTAGGTTGTCGTGTGTCTTACACAACTGCTTGTTTTTGTTCTATTTGTATGGGCCCAGTCCAGTGTTCTTAGGAGAGGTTGAGCTCGGTTTATGCCCCGAAATAAATTTTATGATATGCAACATGAATTGCCACCCTAATCGGCTAACCTGAAGTTTACCTCGCCGTACAAGTTTGATTGAGTCTTCTGCTGTGAGGCTTATACCTGAGTTTACGTATGTTTTGACAGGAAGTTTTGGAACAGAAGACGGGCGCTGTGCAAAATTCTCCTACCGATAAAGCTGCTCCAGAACCTAGTCCATGGTCACCGGTATGCCTTTCTGAAATTTAGAAGTATGGGATGAAATTTCTTCAAACATATGTAGAGCGTTTGCCTTATTGTTTCAGTCAGTCAGTGTATGCATTACATGTAGATGTAGTAAACGAAGATGCATCGCTGGTTCTTTTTGCGTAGGATCACTTCTTGCCATTGCTGGTAACAAAAGTGAAGTTAAGTAGGTTGATTGATGAAGAGCCATTCCTTGTGATGGTCCTGCAGGTTAAACGGAAAGCTCAAGATGTTGGGCCATTCGACTGTACCAAGTATTCCAAGAACGTCAGAACAAGTGACTGATGATACCCCTTGACAGCAATCAAATCGTTGGCCTTGGACTTGTCTTGAGGTCACAGCACAACACGAAGCCTTGCTTGCAACAAGTTGGTCCTGTTGTTCCATGTAATTGGCTAACCTTGTACATGAGACATTCACAAGCCTTGCCACTGCGCTTACTTGCGCTCATTTTGTTATCATTTGGTTGCCAAATTTGTAGAACATTGTACGGACCACGTCCCAGGCAAACGCTTGGCTAACAAATCAATAAAGGAAAATCTCTTGTTCCATTTCGTCCCGGCTCCTCGGTAACAGCGTTGCTACCCCTATCACTATCAGTATATATGTCGCTATGTTTTTTTTTTGCTGGAAAATAAATTACTATGAAGTTGTACATAATGAGCAAGGGAAGCAAGTAGCTTCATGGACTGTAGGAGTAGTACATAAAACATGTGTTAAGATTTAACATTATCATTAGTAGTATATAGTAGGGTGTTAGTTGAGGCCGTCGTCTTGGAGGCGCCAGTCGGTGGCGTAGTAGGAGTTGGGGAGGCCGAGCCAGAACTTGAATGCCTCCGCGGCGCGCTTCCTCTCCCGCCTCCGATCCTGCCTCGCCTGCGACGCGTGCTTGCTGGTGAACATCCGCGAGTGCAGGTCCACGTACATCCTCTTGTACTTGGCCTTGTTGGGCTCCACCCCCATCTCCTCCATCCTCGCCACCATCTCCAGCGCCTTCCTGAACAGCGCCGCCCGCACGCACACGTCCGCCAGCGCCTCCACCACCTCCCCGTCCACCTCCTTCTCCTTTATCTCCTCCCACAGCAGCAGCGCCTCCCCCGGCCGCCTCGCCACCGCGATCCCCTTCGCCAGGCTCCCGTACGTCGCCACGTCCGGCTGCACTCCCCGCGCCTTCATCCTCTCCACCACCTTCTTCGCCGACTCCAGCAGCCCCAGCCTGCAGTACGCCTCCACCAGCATGTTCCACGCCGCCCGGTCCACTGCCACCCGCGGGTCCTTCTCCATCTCATCGAACACCTTGTGCGCCAGCTTCGGCTGCCCCGACGCCGCGAACGCCTTCATCAGCGTCGTGTAGCTCACCGCCGACGGCGCGATGCCCCGCTCGCGCATCTCGTTGAACAGCGCCACCGCGCCCGCGCTGTCGTCCGTCAGCACGCACCCGTCGATGAGCGTGTTGTACGTCACCACGTCGGGCTGGATGCCCGCCTCAGCCATGTCTACGGCGAGGAGCTCCTTGGCCTTTCCGGCCTGCAGCTGCTGGCAGTAGCCCTTGATGAGGACGTTGTATGTCACGCGGCTGGCTGCCACCCCTGCTTGCCCCATCTCCTCCAGCACGGCGCGCGCTCGCTCCATGTCCCCGGCCGCCACCAGCGTGGAGATGACCGTGGTGTAGGTGACGTGGTCGGGGCGGCTCGCTGGCGACGTCTCTCCCTCTCGCCGCATCGCGCGCAGCATGGCCACCACGTCCTCCACGCGCCCGGCGTTCATGTACCCCTTCATGAGCGTGGTGTACACTCTGGAGTTGGGCGGGTAAGCCTTGGGGAGCAGCGGCACCTCCTCTTGTTCCCACGGCTTGACGATGTCCTCCAGCACACAGCTCTGCTGGTCGTGGCTGATTATGTGGTCGTCCGCGACAGCCCGGAACAGCAAGCAGATGTCGGTGCGTCTTTCGCGCATGGCCTGCACGATCCTCTCGGCCGTGGGGATGTCGCCGAAGCCGACGTAGGCGGCGACGAGGGAGTGGAACGTGGTGGCGCAGGGGGTGAGACCAGAGGAGAGGATCCGGTGGAGCACGCGCGCGACGAGGTCCTTGCGGCCGGCGCGCGCGCACATCTTGATGAGGACGTTGTAGGTGAGCGCGTCAGGCGGCGCGTTCCAGGCGGGCATCTGGTCGAAGAGGTGGCGGAAGCGGATGCAGTCTCCGGCGTTGGCGCAGGCGCTGAGCGCGGCGTTGAAGGCGGCGGTGTCGGGGAGGGAATTAGTTTTATTGTGGTGGTGGCGGAGGTGGTGGAGGAGGGCGTCGAAGAGGCGGAGGGCGCGGGAAGGGGGGAGGCGCGCGAGGGCGGCGGTGTAGGCGCGGCGGTCGGGGAGGAGGCCGCGTCGGAGCATGGAGAGGAGGAGGGAATAGGCGAGGTGGGGGTTGTTGGAGCGGGCGGAGGCGGAGGAGGCGAGGGAGAGGGAGTTGGCGTCGAGGAGGTGGAGGGCTTGGCGGGCGCGGAGGCGGTGGAGGAGGGCGGAGGCGCGGGAGAAGGAAGAATAGGAGAGCTGGGCGAGGAGGCGGGAGGCGGAGACAGGGGAGAGGGGGAGGGAGGGGTTGGAGGCGAAGAGGTGGTAGGCGGCGTCGGTGTGGCCGTCGCGGAGGAGGGAAAGGAGGTGTGCGTCCAGCTGGGCGTTGGCATCTGCAGTGTGAGTGTGAGTGTGCGTGGAGGATGCAGCAGCAGGGGAGGAGGCGGTGTTGTTGGTGCCGGAGCCGGAGCCGGAGAAGAAGAATGGTACTAGTACTAATCTGGGGGGCGGTGGGGGCTTGCAAGAGTAGTAGTGCTGCACAAGTGCATTGGATGAGCTGCTCATTCTCCGGTGCGGGTGGGGGTGGGGATGGCGACGACGGAGCTGGATTCACCCAAGCATTGCAACTGCAGGGGAATGGAATTCCCACCAAGTCGACTGAGCAGGAAGCCAGGAAGAAGAAGAAAGGAGGAGAGATTGGGAGAGGCTGCTGGGAGCCTGGATGACGCTGACGTGTCCAATTCTCCGACTAATACTCCTGGCTGGCCTACTAGTGGCTAACGTGTCCGATTTCATAACACACACATCCGATTCCATTCCATTCGGCCCGGCCCAACATGCAACTTACCCATCCCAGTACATATGCCACTCAAATATAAACATCGTAAAAATAAAACAGAGTTCTAAGATAAAATAGAGTCGTAAAAATAAAATCCTAAAGATAAATAGAGCTCTTAATCAAATCTTAGATATAAATATAGGGACCGCTAGTTAGCACAACTACACGGCGTACACTCATTACATGAGAGAGGAAACTCGCGCTAACACCCCTCTATGATTTGGAAACTTTCAACTAGAAACTTAAAAACTTTATGCCCATTCTAAAAAGTTTCATCTCATAATCTCAAACCCGATATCTCACTGGGAGGAGCAAGAAAGGGAACAACCCCCCCCCAACCCCACCCTAGGAAAAGGAAGAAACAGAGGACGACATGGATGCTAGGAGAAGGAAGAATAGAATCCGACGACCCAACATCTAGGGCAGCGGTAGCTCATCTAGTGCTGGCGAGGCTTAGGCGACATCCATGATGTCTCACCATGGACAGGGAAGAAGGGGAACCAGGGGTCACCAGGGAGGAAGAAGAGGGATAGCTAGGGTGCACGGGATGTCGAGAAGGAAGGAAGGACAAAGCAGTCCTTGACCTGCTTGCGGGCATGGGGAGCGGCGTCTCGCCTATCGTGGCACATAGCTTCAATTGGTGCGAGAGGTTTGTTGCGGAATCAAGTGAACCAGGTGGGAGAGGATAATAAGTGAATAATTTATTTGTCATTTCATACTTGCTAGCGTACGTGCGCGGAATAATATTTCCGGATACATCTGCTGTTAACTTTTCTTGTAATCCAAACATCTATCTCGTATGTACCTCTGAGAAGGTTCATGTAATATATCATAATAGAATATGACAATAGGGTTTCTCCCATACTAATTACTATTTTTTCCACTATCTGGTCCGGGCCGGTAGACCACTAGGACTAATTAAATCAATGATATATATGTGAACGAAAATCACATGCATTCGTTGATTGCTTTGGTCTGGTTTGATGAAACATACAGATCCATGCGAGGCAAGCAAGTTGTATTTAGCTACCTTTGCATGGCACAGTCTGCGCCCATAATTAAAGGCGAAAATGTACTATATTCGTGGGTATGATTACCTCATTTTATTTATTTCATCATTGTTGGATCAATTAATTGGATCTCCATCTTAGCTTAGCTTAGCTTGGAAGGCTAGCTAGCTACCAACCTATATGCTGCAGTACTCGCATGATGATGATCGATATATATGCAACTAACCTACTGTTTGTAAGGCCGTATTACAAATTTACAATGCATTTGCACGCATGTCGATCGACTTTATATATACGAGCTAGTATATATTCTTCATGCATGATCAAATTAAATTAATTACAGCTTAGCTGGTTTAAGATTTGGCAGCTGCGTGCCTGCAGCTTCACTAAATAATATATATCACCACATCACGTAGTACCTCTGTTACAGGATTGCAGAGGATCCCAACGCTGTAGCAGCGTGAGTCGAGTATATATATATGTAATAATTAAACACATAGTAATTGTTAGGAGAGTAGTAGCTTTTCTTTCCTTACTTAACCTTCTCGTCCTGCAGATCGACTCGAGTGAGTAGTGTGTTCATTATATATCTTTTTTTTCACACACATGTACGTAGTATGATATACATGTATATATACTCCATTTGTTACTGTTAGCACAATATCGTACCAGCAGCTAGCTTAGCTGCATGCACGCATGATCCAAGTTGGTCGTCCTTTTTCTTTCTTCATTCATTCTTTTAGAATTGATAGTTTGGTCAACCTCTTGCAGCTTAGCTTTTTAGCTGCATCGATGATTTATATATGTGGGTCCTCTGGCTACTGACTTTGGGAAAAAGCCCAAATTAATTAAGCCTTGTCCCGGTCTCACACCGAATCCATGCATATATTGCATTTTCTCACTTCGATCATATGGTTCGACCAAATTACAGCCCATTGCTCCAACCTTTTGCTTTTCATAAATCAGCCGTTGCAGGAAACTAAATTATATTTCTAGACATAGAATTCTAAACTTATAGAGATTATCCATTCAAACCGTAAAAATGCTTACTTCCATCTAGCATGTGCATGTAAATTAAAAAAGTCAAATTCCTCACCAAAAGCAAATTTATATCCTGCTGAAAATGAATATATTTTACCCTTTTTTTTTTGCCAGAATGGTTTAAGAAGAGAGTAGAGACCATCCAATTGTCGACTAGGCGTAACTTTTCACGAACAGGGTCGGTTTTGCGTTGGATTCTAGGGTTCTTGCGATGCTTGAATATTCATATTGGTCTTTATACATGCTATGGAATTAGTGGTTACTTGTAACTAATTCTTGGAAATTCTTTTTGTTAAAACTCTAATTTAAATGCTTTATTCGTGAGGGTGGATCCAAAAATGGTGGGGAAGGGGGGGGGCGCTCATCTTCTTTTTTTTTTATGCAAGGGGGGCTCATCTTTTTCTTCCTTCTTTAGCCCCTCTACTCTTCTTCCCCTTCTCTCTCTTCTTTTCTCCATTGTTATCCAAACGGGGTAGGTGGGCTTGAGCCCCTGTCACCCACGTAGGATCCGCTCGTGTTCATTCGTACTAATAGTTAAATCCAATTCAAGGTTAAAAAATAGTTAAATCCAATTTAAATGTTATCGAGACAAGCCACCAAATATGAAACAGAGCCTCATAATTAAACAACTAATAAGATGTAAATTGTTCAACAACATACAAAGTAAACTGGGCTAATGTAAGAAGCTAATATTCGTGTGTATTTTAACGTTAATATAGTCATGTGATTTTGAGCTACGACTAAAAATAATGCACCCACATTAATAAACACAAAATTTTGGGCCAAGCTAGGTTGACACTCATGAGTTTTAGGGACAAAGACTTGTAGTTATATGTAATTTCACCAAAGGCCAATGCTCATTTATTTTTTGGCCCAAGATTAATACACACAAAAATTTAGGCTAAAATGCTAATCTTCATCTGTTTTGGGCTCAACGTTAGTACTCATGAAATTTTGGGTTGAAAAGCTAATACTCAATGTGTTTTTGGGGACATGGGTTAAAATTCATGCAATTTTTAGGACCACGTTAATTATGAAACCATGAAATTTTGAACCAAAGACTAAATTTCATATGTTCTCAAGTCAAGATTAATATGCATGAAATTTTGGTCAAAGGCAAATACTCGTGTGCCTTTTGGGCCCAAGGTTGATAATTTTGAAATTTTGGACATAAGGTCATTATTCATGTGTTTTTAAGTGGAAGATAGCACTTGTGTGTAATTATGCCAAAGGCTAACATTCATGTAATTTTTTACCGAAGTCTAATGTTCATGTTTTCCAGTTCTCGAGGGTAATACTTAATTATGAAAAATTTTGGATCGAAGGCTAATATTGACGCGCTTGTAACCCAAGGTTAATACTTATGAAATTTTTGACCAAAAGAAAATAGTCATATATTTTTAGGCTCAAATTTAATACCTGTGAAGTTTTGTCGGAAGGTTAATAAACATTTTTTTTGCTGAAGGCAAAAATTCATGCATTTTTAGGCACAACAATAGTGATCATGAAATTTGTACCCAAATGTAATATTAATGTGCTTTTTATGAAGACTAATACTAATATGTAATTGGGCCAAATGCTAATAACCTTTCATTTTTAGGCCCAAGGTTACTCATAAAATTTAAAATTTTGGACCAAAGTTCCAGTAAAAAAAAATTTTGGACCAAAGTCCAATGTCTGTGTGTTGTCGATAAAAGGTTAATACTCATGTGTTTTCGCCCAATATTAACATGTGTTTTGACCCAAGGTTAACACTCGTGTGTTTTTGGGCCAAAGACTAATACTTATGTGTATTTTGGCCGAAGGGTGATGTTTATTTTTTTCCCAAAGTTAATGCTGATGAAATTTTAGGCCAAAGGCTAATACTCATGTATTTTCGTCTAAAGTTCAAATTCATGCATATTTTGGCCCAAGGTTAATAGTTGAGAATATTTGAGTAGGACCATTTTGGCCATAAGATTAATTCTTACGAAATTGTTGGTCAAAGGCTAATATTCATGTGTTTTTGGCACAAATGAAAGCCCTTAATTTTTTTAGCCAGAGGATAATATGCATGTGTTTTTCGTCAAAGGCTAAATTTATTGCCTTTTGTTCAGTAGGTTAGTCATCATGAAATTCTAGGCAAAAGGGCAATGTTCATGTGTTCCTAGGCACAAGACCTAGAAAGACTGATATCCGTGTATAATAATGCCACGGTTAGTACTCATGCATTTTTGAATTCAAGATTAATTCTCAACAACATTTTGGATCAAAGGTGAATGTGCATTTCTTTAAAGGTTAATACTTATGAAATTTTGGCCGAAGGTTATGTTTGTGCGGGTTGAAGGCTACAATTCATGTATTATCGTAAAATTTTGGACTTAGTAATAATGTTCATTTTCTTTTCAGCCGAATGCTAATATTAGTGAAATGGTAGGCTGAAAGGTAAACCTCATGTATTATGGGCTAAAATTCATGTATTTCTAGGCCTAAATTTCTTGAACACAAAATTTTGAATATATGATCCATGCGTTTTTTTCCAAGTTTAATACTCATGAAAGTCTAGGGTCAAGTTAACCCATTCATTTTTGGCCCAAGGTTAATAACTATAACATTTTGGACTCAAATTTCTGTCAAAATTGAATCAACAATGTTTATTCAATTACTTAGTTAAATAAGTAAAGAAAGATATCATTGGCTATACCGTTAGAAGTATTTTGAACATGCCTCATAGGTTTGTCTATTTATACAATTATTTCCTAAAGAAAGACAAATAGTCCAGAGGTAGTACTAGAACCACCGAATATGAAACAGAGCCTCATGAATCATGATTGAACAATTGCTAAATTGTAACATGCTTAACAACAGACAAACTGAACTGATGGTAGTTTAATGTAGTAGTTTAGAACTTAAAGTCGCAGTTTGTTAGAATGTTCTTGTGCAGCAGTAGTAGCAAGTAGTTATAGAAGATGCTGTTTGGTTGGTGGTAGCCCAGTTTATTGTATACGGGTGTGTTTTACGTTAAAATTGAAAATTTGTTTAAAAAAAGTTGAAAGTTTATATGTGTAGGAAAGTTTTGATATGATGGAAAAATTGAAAGTTTGAAGAAAAAGTTTGGAACTAAACTTGGGCCGTAGTAGTTGGAAAAACAGAGGTCCTCAATCTTCATGGTAGTGTTGGATTTATTATACTCCTAAGTGAGAAGTCCTTTTAAAGTCGAGTCTGAGCTTGGAGGTTAAGCTAATTACTACGAGTAGTACCACAAAATGATGAGTTTATTACTCTAGTAGTTAAATACAGGAGGCACAGGTACCACAAATGAGTGACAGAGTCACAGAGACGTGGATGATGCAGCAGCAACAGGGCAACAGCAACAGGTAGTGTACTGGTCCACTCAGCTCGGCGCAGGCGCAGCAAAGGCAAAAGGCAAAGCAGGCTCAGGCTGGCCTCTCCTCTCTCTCACCTTTTCCATTGCTTTTCCTCTACATCTGCTGCATGCTTGCTTGCTTTCTTTCTTGCTTGCTTTTCTCCAAGATTATTACACAGAGACAGAGGGTGCAGAGGCTGGCTGTGAGTGAGAGCAGGAGACTGGGATTGGGACCCTCCTGTCTTCTTCTTTCCCCTTCCTCCTGTCCTGCTCCTCTTCTTCTTCTTCTTGGAATACTCCTGCTTGGTTTGGTATTCTCTTCACTCCCCTGGCTGTTTCTGGTTGAGCTCTTTCTTGCCTGTGTGTGTGTGTGAGAGAGAGAGAGAGAGAGAATTGGTGATTGCCCCTCTCTCCCCAACCCCAGCTACCAACAAAATTTCAATCCTCTCTTTTCCTTTTGTTTTAGGACTTGTTCCAAGGAGGGAGCATATGGATTGATTCACCAGCCCGCACCCACTGCTGTGCTAATCAATCCATCATCAATTCAGATTACTGAGGGAGATGCCGTCTGCTTCCGCCGCTCTTGTGCTCCTCTTCGTCGCCTTCTCGCTCTCCAATGCTCAGCCTGGTCAGTCACTCTCCCTCTCACTCACCCTACTCCCTTCTTTTCTTTTCGAGTTTCTTGGAACTCAATAATTTCCACCCTTCTTTACCATTCGCTGGACCTCCTTCAGCTTCAGGGCTGGGAAATCAAATCCATCTCCAAATATAAATCTCTACAAGAAAATTCCATCTTTGATTTGATGCATGCAGGTTTCATCAGCTTGGATTGCGGGGGAGACGATGATTACACGGATGGCATTGGGATCCAGTGGACTTCTGATGCCAAGTTTGTCTCTGCTGGCCAGAAAGCGAACCTCTTGCTCCAAAATCAACAATTGCAGCAATATACCACCGTTCGCTCTTTTCCAGCAGACAACAGGAAGTATTGCTACACCATGAATGTCAGGAACAGAACACGCTACCTTGTTAGAGCCACCTTCCTCTATGGCAACTTCGACAACAGCAATGTCTACCCAAAGTTTGATCTCTCCCTTGGACCGACCCCATGGACCACCGTTGTCATTGATGATGCCACCACCCCAGTCGTCCAGGAGGCGATTATCCTCGCTGCTGCTCCAACACTCAGCGTTTGCCTCTCTAATGCCAGCACTGGACAGCCCTTTATTTCTACTCTCGAGCTTCGCCAATTTAACGGCTCCCTCTACTACACCACTGATGAAAAACAGTTCTTTCTTAGACTCTCTGCGAGGATCAATTTTGGTGCTGAAAGCAATGCATCAGTCAGGTATGCGCTACTACTGCTGCGTAGCACCATTGTTCATACTTTCGTTGCAATATCTGCCTAAAGAATTTGTTGTTGATGATGTTTTCAGGTATCCTGATGATCCATTTGATAGAATATGGGAGTCTGATTTAGTGAGGCGAGCAAATTACCTTGTCGATGTTGCTCCGGGGACGGAGAGAATATCAACTACAAAACCCATCTTCGTCAGTACCAACGAAGAACCACCTCAAAGGGTCATGCAAACTGCAGTTGTTGGCAAAAATGGATCCTTGACCTACCGGATTGATTTGGAAGATTTCCCAGGAAATGCATGGGGAGTCTCATATTTTGCAGAAATTGAAGATTTGACCCCAAATCAAACTAGGAAATTTAAGTTAGTCATTCCAGGCAAGCCAGAATTCAGTAAACCAACTGTTGATGTGGAAGAGAATGCTCAGGGAAAGTATCGTCTATATGAACCAGGCTACACAAATATTCCACTTCCATTTGTTTTCTCTTTTGGATTCAAGAAGACTAATGATTCGTCAGAGGGACCTATATTGAATGCCATGGAGATCTACAAATATATAGAGATTTCTGTGGGATCTCAAGATGGTAAGCAATTGTCTGTCTGTCTGTGTTGTAGAATAAATGGAAAAATACACCTGCTGTGTTATAATTTGGTCTTCTGGTTATATTGACAGCAAACATTATGGCCAGCTTGGTCTCACGGTATCCAGAAGCAGGTTGGGCACAAGAGGGTGGTGACCCTTGCTTACCAGCATCATGGTCTTGGGTGCAATGCAGTTCTGAGGCAGCACCTAGGATATTTTCAATGTAAGATGATCCTGTCAATCTGCCTTCAATTTTGAGTTTTTGTGCTCAATATTTGAACATTTGAGATCTAAGGATCATTTCTTGCAGCTCATTGTCAGGGAAGAACATTACAGGGAGTATCCCTGTGGAATTAACGAAGCTATCGGGGCTGGTCGAACTGTAAGATCAGAATAGTTTATTTTTTGCTCTCCCCTCTTTGTAGTTGGCTTTTTTCTGATAAATTTATTTCTTCAAATTCAGAAAGCTTGATGGTAACTCATTTACTGGTCAAATTCCTGATTTCACTGGATGCCATGATTTACAATATATGTGAGTTTTCCATTATTTTGATAGTGTATCCTGGAAACATTATTCTTGTAATTTAGCACTTAGGGTGCTTGTGTCTGCACTGCAGTCACCTTGAGGACAACCAATTAACCGGTGCATTGCCACCTTCCTTGGGAGAACTACCTAACCTGAAAGAGTTGTAAGTTATACGCTTCAGTACACTTTCTTTCCACCCCCATGCTATTTGTATTGCAAGTGCAGTAAATATGAATTTGTGCTGTTATTTTGTTCTTATGATCCTCAAGACCTCAACATGCATCATTGCTATAGATTTTATCTCATTTTACTGCTTTATTCATTGTATTGAAACAAAAATACCTTACTGATCCAAGCCTTCACAGGTATATTCAGAACAATAAGCTGTCTGGAGAGGTCCCACAAGCGCTTTTCAAAAAGAGCATTATTTTCAAGTATGTGTAGCTTTTTCTTTAAGCATAGCTTAATCATTTGATATGAGCAGTGCATACTTTTGTGCCTATATGAACTCCAGTGTGGCTTAGCAAGCTTCATTTACCTTCGATGAAAGTATATATTTGTTTCCCATGTAAATCGAGTACCTAACTTGTGCATAGGATTGTGCTGTTTGTTCTGATCTGTTACCCGTATGCAGCTTCTCAGGAAACAGTGACCTTCGCATGGGACACAGTAACACTGGCCGCACTATAGTAATTATTGTATGTGCTGTGGTTGGGGCCATTTTGATTCTTGTTGCTGCTATTGTTTGTTACCTGTTCACATGCAAAAGGAAGAAGAAATCATCGGACGGTGCGTATTCTTTAGCTCATTGGACATATCTGGTATGGTGTATGGTCGCGTAGTAATTACTTTGTGTCTCCAGAAACCGTTGTTATTGCGGCACCAGCAAAAAAGCTAGGCTCATTTTTCAGTGAAGTGGCCACGGAATCGGCGCACAGATTTGCATTGTCTGAAATTGAAGATGCTACTGACAAATTTGACAGAAGAATTGGTTCGGGAGGGTTTGGCATAGTATACTATGGAAAGCTTACAGATGGGAGAGAAATCGCAGTCAAACTTCTCACAAATGACTCCTATCAAGGCATCCGAGAATTCCTGAATGAGGTATGTTTCTTTTCTTGCCTTATAGTTTTTTCTTGAAATATAAATCACATACACAGTAAGTGTTAGCGTTCGGCCTAAAATATGAAGACTATTAAACTTAGGCTAAAAATGGATGACTATTCCCGTTTGGCCAAAAATTAACCTTGGGCCCAAAAATGGTTGACTATTAGCCTTCACCTCAATGACACAACTATTAAGTCTTTGGTCCAAAAACACATGAGTATTAACCTTGGGCCCAAAAACAAATGAATGTTAGCTTGGGCCAAAAATGCATGATTGTTTAGCCTTCAGCTCAAAAACACATGAGTATTACCTTCGAGCCCAAATCACATAAATATTACCTTCGCTCAAAATGTCATGAATATTATCCTTGAGCTGAAAAAACACAAGAATATTTGCCTTACTCCAAATACACAGGTGTATTACTCTTCCACCAAAAAAACATACAAGTATTAACCTTCGGCACAAAATTTCATTAGTATTGACCTTGGGACCATAAGTGCATGAATTTGGGCTTCGTCTAAAAATTTCAAGAGTGTTAACCTTGGTCAAAAAACACATGAATATTAGCTTTTGCCCCATAATTTCTTTACTCTTAGGGCTAGTTCGAACCAGCAGTTTGGCTGCAGCGGTTCGCAGCTCGGAAACGGGGCATATCATTAGCACATAATTAGTTACGTACTCCCTCCATCCAAAAGTGTTAGGCAATTTTTTTTTGGTTTTTCTAAAAGAGATGATTATATTTGTAGTCTTCATGTGCTAAATTAATTGTTGACAGGAACCCAAGCAACCATCTTAATATTCATTGGTTGCATGCATATAGTTCCTTGATTTTGTTACATGGGAGATGAGTAATTTCTCCTTGGTCTTGGTGACAAAAGAAATATGTCTTACATTTGAGGATGGACGGAGTATTAACTATTATAAATTTAATAAATGGATTTATTTGATTTTTTTAAGAACTTCTATATATTTCACAAAACGCATCGTTTAGCAGTTTGGGAAGCATGTTGACGGAAAACGAGGAAGTTGTTGTTTCAAGTTGCTGAAAAGAACTCAACCTCAACCTTAGACCCATAAACACATGAATGTTAGCCTTCTGCTCAAAAAATTCATGATTATTAACCTTGGGGCTAAAAATGTATGGATTATAACCTTTGACCCCAAAACAAATGATTAATAGTCTTCAACCCAAAAAAAATTGTGAGTATTAATTTGGGCCAAAAACATATGAATATTATTAGCCTTTGGCCAAAGTGCACATGAGTATTAGTCTTGGGCACAAGTATTATCACTGGGGCCAAAAACACATGAATATTAGCCTTTGGCCCAACTACACATGAGTATCAGTCTTCAGTTCAAAAGCACGTGACCCTAATACCTTCAGCTGAAAAACACGTTACTATTTGCCTTCAGCCCAAAACTTCGTGAGTCAACCTTGGGCCCAAAAGTGCATCTATATTAGCCTTTGACCCAATGACTCATGAGTAGCCTTTAGCCAAAAACAGATGAATTTTAACCTTTGTGCACACAGTTTAATGAGTGTTGACCCAGGGCCCAAAAAGGCTTTGCGTTCGGCCCAAAATGGGCTGTTTTTCACAGTTTAACAGTTTAAGATATAAATAGAACTTGCGTACCTATTGCTAATTTTACCACTGCTTGGTAGATTGAAACCTTGAAGCTGAAGCTGAAGCCCAGTATATTCTGGGACACATTCATTTCCTACTTAATTGATAGACCTACACTAATGGGATGTGACCATGTTGCGTTACATATACTTATAACCTCAATTTATTTTAAGTAGTATAAGATATGAACATTTTCTATTTGGAACATCCTATGGACCCTCACCCTCTATGTAGGCATCCCTCATATATCCTTTTCTCAAGGTCTACTGGAAAACTCAGCGCGCATACTTTTTCTTTGGGTGGTTACTGCGATCCGTTGCTTAGTATAGTATCTGATGGACTTATGTTTCAGGTAACATTGCTTTCAAGAATTCATCATAGAAACCTGGTGAGCTTCCTTGGTTACAGCCAGCAAGATGGTAAAAATATACTTGTGTATGAATTCATGCATAACGGGACGTTAAAAGAACACCTCCGTGGTAAGTTCCTATGGTCCTACCATCTGATGATAAATCTAGTTTGCAGAATCAACACCAAATTGTCGTTGTGTAGAGAATGATTCTTCTACAAGTAAATGTTCCATGCGTAGTTATATTTTAGAATATTAGGGTCTCCATGATTTCGTATGGTATCTCATTATCTCCTCCCCTCATACAGTAATTATTTTGAGAAATTTTTTGGAGTCATATGCATAGTTTGTGCAGTGGTTTCCACGATTTTATCAGATTGGTACTTTTCACCTGATATTTCCCTAGATAATACAGCAAATTCATGCTTGAGTTTTCTTTTTCCAGTTTTGGATAAGGATTCGTGTTCTGAAAAACTTATAGGATCTTCACTGATGTATAAGCCTTTTCTTTTCTGTTCTGATGTTTACTTCTTTCCAGTCTTAACTAAGAACTGAATACAAACTGTCAAGATTTCAGAAGTTTCCATACTACACATAAATCAAGGCTCAGCTGCGGCTTTGTCTACTTGTCTAGCTCGTGCATGATTCTTTGACACTGAGGCTCAGGATTGACATGAACTTTATCATACTTTGACAGGAGGCCCTGATGATGTAAAAATAAATAGCTGGGTCAAGCGTCTTGAGATAGCAGAAGATGCTGCAAAAGGTTTATCTCCCTCCCTTCCTCGTGTACAATTTTCCTGTGATTATTCTACCAACATGCATTTCAAAGATTCTGAAGTCTTTCATTTCCATGAAAAATAAAATAAAATATCAGGAATAGAGTATCTCCACACAGGATGCTCCCCAACTATCATCCACAGAGACCTCAAGAGCAGTAACATTCTCCTTGACAAGAACATGAGAGCAAAAGTTGCAGACTTTGGCTTGTCAAAACCTGTTGTCGACGGGTCTCATGTATCAAGTATAGTTAGAGGAACAGTTGGATATCTGGACCCAGAGTAAGGCCATGTCTTTCCTGAAATTTATGAAGTCTATTCTTGTTATCAATGGCCTTGCAAATTGAATTGCTATATACCTTTGTAACATCTGATGCCAAGTGTTCCCCAAGCTCACCCTTTTTGCGTGTGCTCGTAGGTACTATATCTCGCAGCAGCTAACAGAGAAGAGTGATATGTACAGTTTTGGTGTCATTTTACTTGAGCTAATCTCAGGCCATGAACCAATCTCAAATGACAACTTTGGGCTCCACTGCCGTAACATTGTTGAATGGGTAAGAAGTAGTAGGCCTTATGATGATACATGAACTTTGCATTTAGTCTTTCTTCCTGATAGTGAATTATCAAAGATATCCGAGCGATTGGCGCAGACAAAGATGCTGAGTGAAGAGTTGTCCATTGGCAGGCTAGATCGCACATGGAGAGTGGGGATATCCACGGCATCATTGATCAGTCGTTAGACGCAGGGTACGACCTGCAGTCGGTGTGGAAGATTGCGGAGGTGGCGACGATGTGCGTGAAGCCCAAGGGGGTGCTGAGGCCGTCCATCTCGGAGGTGCTCAAGGAGATTCAGGACGCCATTGCCATCGAGCTGCAACGGGAGCTGCCCTCCAGCATTCACCACCTCATGTCCAAGACGTCTCCCTCCGAAGCCGTCAACACGACAGGCAGTCTGCAAGACCTGGAGCAGAATGCGTCGTTTGATGAGCTGCTCATGCGCCCAGGTCTCAGGTAGAGGTAGCACATACGGATTACAGACTCTTCTAATACTATATTTCTAATATTCGTTGATAGGTTAAGCAAGCTGTGCATGACTTGTTTAGATTTGCCACCGAGCAACGAATTTTGGGTGAATTTGTCCTTCAGGTCGTCGTGCACTTTTGAAATGATCATGTGCATTCATTCTCGTTCATTCTTACATTGGCTCTTGTTCTCTTCTCCCCCTCGAATTCTTGTATCAAAAACGACCAAAAAACAAGATCGATTCATAATACCGTGATATGATTATCAGAACGTTTCCTTTCAGATTGAACGGTACTGGCCGTGCAGCTCAGGCTGCATCTGAAATCCTGAACGAAACTGCCATCCTAGTTACTAGTAGATGCTAGTAAAACAATTCGAAGGAAAAAAGGAACAGAGATTTTGTCATGAATTGATATTATTAACAACAGCACACCGAAGTACTCCTCGACCTTGTTTTTGATTCAACACCAAACAACACCCAATTCAGCATAAGCTGGCTGGCCTGGTACCATATAGCCATTTACGTTTGGTTCAGCAAACCCATCAACAAAATAATCTCATGTGCACCACAAAAGCTACTAGCAACGAGTAACGTATCATGTACAAAATGACGCTTTTACTATGCCAAAACCAAGAAAATATTTCCACATGACGGCAAAAAAAGAAGAAAGAAGCAAATGCTAAACGGTTTATATATTCTCGAGTCTGCTTCCACCACAAGTATATATAAACTTGAAGGACAACCTCATGGATGCATCTTTGATATATATATCCTTTCGCCCAAAACAGAACCTGATGACCAAACGAGGCAAATGGTGAGTAACTTGCCAGCAAATTCCAGAACAAACACAGCAACAAATTCCAGAATAAAATGGAAGAGACCAAGCACAAACAGTACTAACCAATGCAATAAGAAGATAACTCACACCACCTATCCAGGACAAGGGGTAGCAAGCCATGCATATAATATAGTAAAAAAAGATGTGAATAGAATGGTGAAACACAAACCTGGTGCTTGAAACGTCTGGTTACACACCCAGTTTCATGCTGGTCCACTTGAATCCAATGCCTTTCAATAAACACTCATGCGCCAATCCACAAGCTCAACAATCACCAAGTTGAGCCTGTGCAACCAATCAATTTCAAGAACTGAGAAATGTGCAAGTTAGCTGGGTGATAGGTCAAGTCGCATCTCCCAAAGATAATCACAGTCCAAAAGCTCTGTTATACAGATCATTTGAACCCAGCATGTGGAAGTTGTTTGCTTCAGTTGGATATAACATCCTTGACATGTCAGGCATGGAAACATTATTCCCTTGTCTCAAATCACCCCAGCCATCCCAATGACCATTTGTAAGATGTGAGCTTCTAGGTTGTTGGAGTGACATCTGTGTGTAAGAGGATAGAGAACCATGGTTCTGAGGTATAAGTCGGGATGCAAGATAATTATCATTCATAGGGTTGAATGCATCTTGAACATGTTCTGCAAATCCAACATTTTGATGGGAAGGCATGTTCTGCTGCATAAGTAATTGAAACCTTGGATCATTTGATGTTTGCAACTGCGAAGGAAAAGTATGGGAAGTTTTCATCTCCAACCCTGAATCACTTATTCCAGGCATCCGCCCTTTACCCACAGCCAATATAGCAGGATCAACAAATTCTATATCACTTGTTTGTCTAGCTAACTGTGGTTGATAATGGCTAGTATTTATACCCAAAAGATCATCAAATGGGCGAGTTTCTGCAAAACATTGCAAACTTATTAGAAACTGAAATTGTTTTAGGAGAAGCAGAGAGAGAGAGAACCTGAGTATGCCGAACCATAGATCTGATTAGACCCACCCTGAGAAGAAAATCCAGGAGGGGGATTAGGCCCATTATGAGATGAAAATCCTGGAGGTGGATTCAACCCCTCATGGGATGAAAATCCAGAAGAAAACCCAGTAGGAACTCTTGCTGGTGCTGAAAATCCAGGAGGCGCGGATACTTTAGGCTTTGATGTGCCTGAAAAAGCATTTTTTTTGTAAGTACATAGAAGTACCATGGTGAAAACATCAGTTACTAAAATGCTTCAACATAAAAACACAGTGCATTTTATACTTAATAGCTCCACAACCCAATCACATATGTTACAAGATTGCCAACATTGAATTAAAAGAGGGGAATGGGTGCACAAACATTGGATCCCTTCTGTATCCTAGCGAATATATCTATTTGTTTTGTGACACATTAATATTACCTCAAATATATAAAATAAATATTAAAATAAAAACATTAACTGCAGTACTGCATCTCACTGTTCATTAAGAATTTAATAAACAAGCAGCGTAATATAACTTCATACTACTCACCGGTAGCTAGCATATCCAACATAGTAAGAGAGTTGCTCTTTGAGAAACCTTCCTCAGGAGATTGAAATGCAATGCCACTCTGATAAATGTTTCCATGAGAATTCTGGGATGGCAAACTGAAATTCTGCTCACTTTTATAATTTCTCATAGATGAATCTAGGAGGCTTCCTTGATTATCTTGTCTAGCAAATGAAAATCTAGACTCACTATTGCTGGTTTTTGTTTTCCATGAACGTGCATCAAAAAGCACATCGTTCTTTTCAGATGCACTAAGCATCTTAGCAAAATTGTTAGCCGTTGAATACGACTCATCCCATGGATCAAACTCCAAAGACAAAATATCAGCAATTATGCTGCTCTCATCCTTATTTACACTTACAGCCTTGTCAAAACTGCCTATGTTATCAATTCTCACTGCACCAACTGCTCCAGGCTGATGGTTTTTCATTCTAGGATGTTCAGAAACCTTACCAGGTGCATATATAGTCCCTAGCCCTTCTTGATGTCCATTTAACATGGTAGAAGTGCTGTCAACTGAAGATAACAGCCCAGGTTGCATCATTGTGGAAGTTCTATCACTTGTTGATGTATGGTTAATCTCTTTACCATTCCACAGTGAAATAGGAGCAGTGTTAGGGAAATGGACATATGGTGAAGACGAAGCTTGATCAGCAGCATCCAGCACTCTACCATGAGATTTATCAGTGGCTACTGCATAACTTTCTATGTCATTTAACTGAGGAGACACACTACTCTGGATATCTGAACACCAATCACGATGCTTATCTGAACTAGGCTGACATGTAGAATCATTACACTCAGCAAGTTTCAAATTCTGACTAAAGGGCACCACAACTGAAGTACTTAGGATTGCATCCGGTTGTTGGTTTTCGGCAATACTTTGAACCCCATCTTTTCTGCTTAATGTTACTGAAGATACTCCAACAGAAAGCCTATCAATATCCGTGCTCTCAGATCTAGTATCTTCGGTTGCTGTGTCAATAGCTGCTTGATTAGATTGGTCCTTTCTAATTACCAAAGTAGATGTTTTAGAAGCCATGTTGGTTACTTGGTAATCACCATCACCATCCTTTACTTCTGATTTAGAAACCGATGGACTTGATACACAATTTAGAGGACTTTGCCTGGTACTGTTTACTGCGATGTCTTTCTTTGGTGATGTCGTTGACTTCGATGTAAGATGCCCTGATTCAGCTGGCTTTGAAGAAACTGAACATTCAAACTTTCCATTGTCATTTACAACCTGCTTCTCGTCACTTCCTTTTGACATGCCATCTGATGTGACATCATCATCGTTCCAAGCTGAAGGTATGGTAGAGAAGTCTATGTCAAGCGATGACTCCAGTGATGTTACAGCTTGGGTTTCCTTTGCAATACCAGGCTTATATGGCTTCAAGGTTTTAGACAAACTATCTCGTCCTTCCGTCATTTTCGGAACTGTGCTTGTGTCATCATTCCATGAAGAAGGTAGTTTTGTACTTGAAACAGTCGAAGAACTCGAGAATGAATTACTTTGAGGATCTGCTTTTGATTTAGTAAGAGATTGTGACGATGCCACCCCAGTTGCTGTTGTCCTGGTATTCAAATCGCGATGCCCCCTGCTCATACCAAAAAAATTTTAGCAACAAATTCACATTTTAAAACATATCATGAGACCCTAAGCAGCATCATACCATGAAGCAGCTGGTGGAAGTGTGGATCTCCCAGAACTACTGTTTGGAGGCGAAAGCCTGGATTGATTTGCAGTATTCTGTACAAAATAAGACCAGTTAATGTAGCAGCATGAAATCAAACAGAAATGAACATGTCCAGTGTCCCAATGGATTTTTCAGTATAAAAAACATACAGTTATTCCATTCTTGATTGGATGTTTAGCTGCAACCACTGCACTATATGAGAAATCTTCTGCTGGAGGAGGTAATACAGTCCCTGCGCGTCTTTGAGAAACATTAGACGCCATTTGGGGAACCCTACTCCTGTAGGAACGAGAGATGATGAGTCGAAAGCACCAATCAGAACTACTGAAAATCTTAGCATTTAGCAAAGCATAATAATTCATGCATAGTATAGGGAAAAGTTGATAGACTACAAATTCTCAGAACAGAAGAGCATTATATAGTAACAGTAGCAGTAGGCTTGGCAGGGGAAAAAGTACATATGGCTAGGACTGGCACAGTGCCATAATAAGGAACAGTGGAACTTTCCACACATATGTTCAACGAGCTCAGCTTACCTTGTATATGCTGAGATTATCTCATCTTTAGTGAAACTATCTTCCTGGCTTCCTACATCATGTAAATAGAGACAATCTGGATTTCCACAGGTCTAAAAAAGAGAAGATAAAAGCCCTCAGAAGGATGGCAGTAGGTAGAGTAATGGTAAATAAAGCTGCCAGGATGAAGCAACGAGTATACCATGTTCCGCAGCCATGCATGGCAATACTTTGTAGTACCAAAGCACGCTCTGCAACAAACCATTAACGATTAGGCTAACTGCGTTATGTAAAAAAAACTGCTGCAATAAGGCTACAAAGCATAGAGGGTGACCTTAACACTTTCCCTTCCAAAACAAAATTGTGTACAGCTTGAATACACCTGATGGCCTCTTCTTCTTTGGCATATGTAATATATCTGAAAACATCACAATAATGAGCCCATTTTCAACACACACAGTGCATTCTATATACAATCTAAGTTTCACATTTTGGAATCTACATGGATCCAGTCGATGCTGAGGATTCCTAAGAGAAAGATGGAGCTGCATTCAAAGAACTACAAAGTGCTCAGACAGGAAAATTTTGATAATCCTTGAGGTAAATTCTATGAAATACCTGACATCTGCATATGCAAAGGTTCTGAGCTCAATCAGACTTATGATGTAAACATACAATTAGTACATACCATAGTTAATATAATGATCATGATATGACTGAAGCAGTCACGTTTGCATTTATCTGATTATTCAACACTAGAAATCTACATCTTTTGCTTTGGCTACTAGGCTGCTAGGTGTGGCATTCACTGATTCACAAATGGATATGGAAATTCATGATCCTTAGTCAAATCATACTGTTAAGTAGGTAATATAAATCTGAAATTAATTGCAAGAACATGGACATATCATATTTGAATTAGCCATCATTTTCATCTATATTTAAGCATATAATTTCTCAACAATAAATCACCTATGCTTAAATGCTCTAGGCTTGGAAAGTACAGGAGAGCATAACTTGAAAACACCACTTGTACATACGGTAAGATATATCTAATCACTTGAAATAATAGGTCATGTTTATCCATGAGAGAAACATCATAAACATGTGGCATGAGATTCACATAAACATACACGCTGATACTGTTGTTTGTTGGTGCCTGCTGGGAAGGAGCCCCAGTCGGCCGAGAAACTGAAACTTTCAGAACCTTGCCATACTGACCAAAGTATTCCCTGCGCTCAAGTATCTGAAATAAAAAATGAATTGTGTTGCCAAGGTGAGAAACAAAATATACACATTACTCAGTTGAAAAGAATCTGTCTGTGCACAATATGGTACTCACGCTTTCGTTGCATAAATTTGCAGGTAGTCCAATTATGTACACGAGGTTTCTCTGGATAACCCTGACGCTAGCAAGATGTTTCTTAGCTTCCACAGTTACCGCGGCCTTTGACTTGACCTTTTGGGTCTTCTGTTTCTTGTCCACATTTTTCTCCACTACCGTCCTGTTTCCATTAAAAGAAGCATAAGTACAAAATTTCCGATGCGATAGACAGGTAAAAGAAGTTGCTTATGGCGCTTTGCAAACCACAATTCACGACAACTGGGTGATGTTTCGTTTTGTTGAACTGAAGACCCTAAGCTCTTGTGCGGCCATCTTCGCATGTCAGTGCAGTTAGTGAGGTGAAAGGAAAAAAGACGGTTTGAGATGGAGGGACCTGTCACAAGTGGCAGCCATCTTGACAATCCTATCTTTGTCATAGCGAGTGCGGCATGCGGGGCAGCGGCCCTCAGTGTCCTCTTTCTCAGCCATATCAATGATGTGGTGCCAGCACCAGACACAAATCTGCAGTGAGATGCAAAAGGGAGGTGAATGGAAGGGGGGTGTGGAGAGTAGAGTGGTGGGGAGGGAAGGGAAGAAACCTCATAGCCGCATTTGCAGGGCTTGAGCTGCTGGTCAGTGATGTCCATGTCCTCAGCACAGAGCGGGCAGGTGCGGTCTCCATCGTCGCTCATGGTCATCCTTCGGGAGCAATTCAGCGGCAGGAGACATGAAAGATAATATTATTAGTAGTACATGAGATTGTTTGTTTGTGGGAATAACAATCTGTAGTAACACGGTGTAATCAATCAATCCCTAATAAGAGAGAGAAGCTTCCTATCATCAAATCGAATAAACGAGAAAGTGAGGGGTGGGGGGGCAAGCGCAGGGGCTGATCCTTCAAATCGAGGATCCAATCCAAAGAGTCTATTATGCTCCCAAGTGGATTGGAGCAACAATCAGAAAAGAAAAGGGGGGGATCAGAGAGGGTGAAGTACTCACATTCCGATGGGGGAAACCCTAGGTAGGTGGTCAAAACGGGGGCGGCGGTGGGAATCGATCGATCGATGAGAGGGAGGGGGCGCCGGCGGGTGGATGGATGGATGGGGGGAGTCGCGTACGATCGATGGCCGTCTATGGAGTCTCTCTCTCTCTCTCTCTCTCCTCCGCTGCTTGCTGGCTGGTGTCGTCGTGTTCGCGTATGGTGGTGATGAGGAAGGAGGAACGAGTAAGGAAGAAGACGAGGGATGGAGGGACCCGGATCTCCTCCTCCTGTGCCCTCCCCTGTGCCTTCCTCTTCTTTTTTTTCTTTCTTTTTCTTTTTTATTTTTAAGTAAGTTGCATTCCAATATTTTCATTTTATTGCTACCTATTGTTACCACATTTACACTTTGGTCTGTTGATTCACATGTTAGCCACTTATCTTCTTCCTCCCTACCTCGTCACCTCTATTTTTCATTATCTTATATGCTCCCAACAAAAACATATATGTGTTGCTCCTGACCGCCACGGTGTCGTCGTCCACTATGAGTACAAAATCATGCTACATCAAGAATCATCCATTGCGTGCTATTATTGCTAACTCTGACTCACTTCCCTTTTTCCAAGTCATCGAGCCCCCCTCTCTCAATTTTGTTCCATGGTTTGAACTGCTTGTTCGCTCAATGACTAGAAAAAGGCATCAACTATGCTATCTCCACGATTTAGAACATAACATTGCTTTGAAAGTCCTTTTCTCCCATTCATATCTCTTATCCTCCCCATTGTCTATGTTAACCGCTAATATTAATAGAGATTGCGCCCGATCAGGGGCCAGCACATATGGATTTCAAGCATGAGCACCACAGCGCCGGGGGACTTCAACTCAAAATAAACATTGACACGGCACATGAACATAACTCAAGAGGCCACCGGCAACACAAAGCTCGAGCTCAAAGTGTGGATGGCATGGGCTAAGCGAGCAACTCTAAAGTATGGGTGACAATGATGGTGGCAAATATAGGAAGCCAGAGGTGAGGGAGAGATGAAAAGATGGAGATAACGAGTCTAAATTACACTAGAGGTAAGATTACCTAACTCAAAGTAAAAACATTTGCTAAAGAGTGATCCAATATAAAACTTTTGTAAATATACCTAGCCATTGTGCAATTAACTTTTTTTTTCCAAGAGAGGGGGTCTTTATGTATGTCCAGGAGTACATGTCATATTTGGATAGTGCTCTGACCTAGGGTTCTTGCCTAGACATGTGCATCTAGCTATAGGCGTACGAAATTGGACGCTCGGGAATGATGCTTTGCTCAAGCGTGATTTGTCAGGGCATGATCCAAACATGCACTATGTGTTAATGTATAGTAACCACTCTACTTTGGTTAAGTATCTAATCGGGTAATAGTGTCAACATATTGCATTAAGATGATCGTAGTGATCAATTATATCCAACTATTACCAAACATCTTATTAGTTGTCACATACTATTTTGTGAATGGTGTTGACGCAAAGTAATCGTATAATAATCCAAGTTATATTGGGATGAAGGGCATGTGTACATCAAATAACTGATAAAAAAAACAAAATCAAACACAGTTTTTATAAAGTCTGAAAAACTCTCTTTGTCCTTAATACAGGAATCCTTATATAGCATAATGAAGTATCTACATTATGTTGTTTTGTCAAACGAATAAGGATTGTCTCGTTACATGTTCTTTCATTCTCGTATTGCATTATCTGCTAAGCTACATTATGTGTTACAAATGTTGGAGCTACCTCACAAACCCACTCGTTGTCCTCCGAAAAATGAGTTAGTTGTTAAATAAAAGATATGATTGAGATCAACAGCGAAATGACAAAATAGACTGCACGGATCTACAGCGATCCCACGGCATTTAGGCCCTGTTTGTTCACACCAAACTTTCCCCCAACCCCCAACTTTCCATCACACCACATCACATCCTAAACTTTTCTACACATATAAACTCTCAACTTTTTTTACAAACTACCGATTTTCTCCAAACTTATCACCAATTATATGAACTAAACATAGCCTTAGAGAGATTAATAAATTAATACTATTCCGAAGAGGGTTAAGGGATATCCCCTGGCCTGAACGCGCAAATTAAACCGGAGGGCGAGCCCCTTGTCTCCCTCTCCTCCGCCCACCCCACCGGCGATGGCACACGGCGGCGGCGAGGAAGAGGAGGAGCGGGTGCTGAGCCACGGCGACGTGGTGCTGCTCCGCTGCGACCTCACCATCCTCCGTGGCCCCCACTTCCTCAACGACCGCATCATCGCCTTCTACCTCGCCCACCTCGCCGCCGACCACCACGACGACGACCTACTCCTGCTTCCCCCCTCCGTCCCCTACCTCCTCTCCAACCTCCCCGACCCCGCCTCCGTCGCCGCCGTCGCCGACCCCCTCCGCCTCGCCTCCCGCCGCCTCGTCCTCCTCCCCGTCAACGACAACCCCGACGTCTCCCACGCCGAGGGCGGCTCCCACTGGACCCTCCTCGTCCTCGACAACTCCAACGCCGTCTCCGGCCCCCGCTTCGTCCACCACGACAGCCTCCCACCCACCAACCTGCCCTCCGCGCGCCGCCTCGCCGCCGTGCTCCGCCCGCTGCTCCCCGCCTCCGCGATCCCGCTCATCGAGGGCCCCACGCCCAGGCAGACAAACGGCTACGACTGCGGCGTCTTCGTGCTAGCGGTGGCCAGGGCCATCTGCAACTGGTGGCCCACCCGCGCCCGCCATTCCAATTCCGATTCCGATTGGTTGGAGGCCGTGAAGAGGGAGGTGAACGCCGACAGCGTCAAGGCCATGAGGACCCAGCTGCTGCAGCTCATCCATACCCTCATCCAAAACAACACCACCACCAACCAACATTCGTGCTAGCTAGCTGTTGCTCTTTCACAACTTATTTGTAGTCTTCGTGTTCTTACTGATATTATATATATGGTTTTCTGTGAGCACAGCAAGAACAACATGTACAAATAGAACAGGTCTTGTGTAGTAATCTTTTTGCAGAATTTTGGGGTCCAAATACTCTTTACTGTTGGTTATGGTTAATGAAACAATGCTATTGTGCCTATTATTTGAGTATAAATGGTTGAATCAGTGTTGGAGCTCATAGCCTTATGTTCTGTGATCCATATAGAACAACAACAGCAACCAACAGTCCTAGCTATTGATTCATTCTGTGCTGCTCTTGAGAGCTTAATTGTCTCTGTGCTTGCGGTGATTGTTTTCCCCTGAGCTTGCAACAAGGACATGTAGACTATACTAGGTCTTGTGTAAGTAAGTAGTAATCCATTTTGCAGAATTCATCAGTTCAAATACTCTTTATTACTGCTGTTTATGGTTAATGCAACAATGCTACTGTGCTTATGCTTGCAAGTTACTTGAGTATATGGTTGAATCAGTGTTGGAGCTCATGGTCTTATCTTATGTTTTTGTGATCCACAGATTAAATTGGTACATTACCTAGTAATGTTAGATGAGCCGAGTCATTGGTATTTGCATTTGGTAAACTGCAGCAAGGAGGGCAGCTATCTGGCATCTGCCAGTCTACCTACCACTTCCGGACCTAACAGTCATACATGCATCCTTAACTATCTTCCTTTTCTCCTCTCCTTATCAGCCCTTCAACTCAACTTCCTTCTCACCCTTCGATTGCATCTACCAGTCTGCCTGTCACAGCACAAGACTTTGGGACTTGGGTATGTGAACTATGATTCTTCTTCCTTTCTCAATTTTTGCTTTGTACATGCACAAGAGGAAAACAAGTAAACATCTTGAAATAAAGCATTATTACTTCAGCATGTTCTGCATGTTTTGTTGCTTGGTCTCAACCAGGCTTCAAAATTCAGCTATAGATTGCATAAATTCACTTTTTTTTTCCATGCATGCTATTTTGTTCCAGTATCACTCTTCTCTTCTTTTTTTTTTGGTCAATTCCTCAGTTTTACATCTAGCTCACTATGAGTTTCCCTCTGTTCTCTTTTATTCATTCACCACGTACAGGTAGCAGCAGAGGGGAGCACATCCATGACTTGTGTTCATAAATTTTGTGTTATTCTACCTTCTTTCTTTGTCATTTCACTTTGGTACATAAACTGTGCTAAAAATTTCACCAGTGCGATATGCAAAGCCACAAGAAGGTTGCTGCTGTGAAGCCTGTGGCTTCCAGGCCTTCTTCCAGATTGAGGTCCTTCTCAATGCTCCAGGAAGACTCCACTGCTATTGATTCTCCTCGGGTTACTTCCCTGGAGGAGATTATATTAAGGCGTCCAAAGGCAACGCGATTCACACACCCATTGAGTAATTCATCGACAGAAATTGCTGCAACCAGAGTCAGTTCGACACGAAATTCAACTTCTCTGTTTCCTGGAAAGAAATTTCATTTTCTTTCTGACAGTTACATAATTTTGCACCTTCTTTTAAATGATGCTTTTTATAATTATACATCTGTCCATTAGATTATTTTGAACCTACCTTTGACATGATCATATGGTCATTTTCTAACAACATGCTGAACTTTTTAGCTAGAAGACAGTGGAACACATACAGCATACGATCAAAAGAAAGCAGATACAGGAAAGGGGGCCTGTTGGGACAATTTGACAGTGTCCCAGAGTGTCAGGAAGCCAAATGTCAGTGCGAAGAACAGTTTGTCCTACGATGGCTACAGCTGGAGGAAGTATGGGCAGAAGCAAGTGAAAGGGAGCGAGTTCCCACGGAGCTACTACAAGTGCACTCACCCAACATGCCCTGTCAAGAGAAAGGTGGAGATGACACCAGATGGCCGGATTGCTGAAATTGTATACAACGGTGAGCACAACCACCCCAAACCTCATCCTCCAAGAAAGCCAACATTATCAACAAGTGTGGAGACTCTGGTTGCCACTAATGATGCTGGATTAGAAAACAAGTTAGAAGGATGTGACCAAGCTATTGGTTCTGATGCTGTTGTTGAAGCATTAAGAGGTGGCTGTCACTGCTTGGATGGATTTAGAAATGGTAATGAGATCAGTGACTGCAAGAAAAGGTATGCTTATGCTGTAATTTTCATTCAGAACTTACTAATGTTTTTTTGTGCCAAAAATGTGCAAGTGGTTGCTTAAAATATCAAGTAGCATATTATGATATTTACGTTACAGACCCACAGCCTCCTTGGAGGACACTCTTAGATGATTGCTGTGAAATTGTCGTGTGCCTAGGCTTTTCCGTTTTGGAGTGAGATTTCATGATGGTTCATGTAAGAGAATTCTGGCACAACCGCATAATATAATTAATTTAGGGTCACATTTGGTAGCTGAATATGTTCAGGAAAAGCAGTAATGTTGATAGCTGAATAGGTATTGATTGGCAATGAATTCATTCACTGTAAAGTTGACAATCTATGTCGTGAAATTCATGCACTTTGTAGGACCTTGCTGACTAATCTATTCAGAGGAAAAAAAAATCAGCAACATGAAAATAGCTGCCCTAGAATGCCTCATCCAAGAATTGTTCCATGCCACTGTATATCAAGGTTGAGGTAACTGCAAACTAGGAAGGACTGCCTTGTTAACTTACTGATATGAAAAAAAGAAAAAGAGATACAGATTTGTGTATATAAGTCCGCTCAAAATTCCATATGCTGAAGAACACATGCAGTCGTACTTGCGATTGTCTGTGCTTGTTTGGAGTTAGTACACTTGTTTAACCCCTGAAATGTAATTGTCGCTTCACCTTTTGTATTTTCTGTAAGAAAATTGTCAATCAGTGCTACATAGTATAGGTTTGTGTCATGTGTTGCTACGATGTTAAGTGCTTGGATGTGCATTGCAGGAGTAATTAGAGATGCAGCACGCGCGAGTACGTGGATGATCAGAGGGAAGGCATAATCTCGAGATCAATCTACTCATCTTGGAACAATACCAGTAGCATTGGCAGCAATTATTGGCATGTTAACGTGGTATACTCCTCAAACAAAACAAAAAGGGGAATAATGTCAGTGAACTGAGTGAGGTGTTAATAGGCAATTGCTAGGCCTCCGAACTAGTGTGCTGTCACTCTACTAGCTAGATTAGGCATAAATTACCAAATGATACTGTGACAAAACTGAAATGTAACCACTCCAGAATCTTGGTTTAACACATTGTTTATGTGCAAATTGGTTTTATCAAATGATACCGCTGGGAATTGTTGTTGGCAACTAATAAGTGAATGCTGCTCAAAGGAGTTACAAGAGGAGCAGGAAACTGGATTTGGAGAGAACTGCTGCAGGGCAGGTTTGTATGCACGTTGTAACAAGAATTCCCGATGTAAGCAAAAGCAAATTTGTTAGAAACTACACGCAACTAAAATTATACGCACAAGAACAAGATTGTCCAGCAGAAATCAAATCCCATATATGGTGCATAAACAAATGAGCTAGGAGTACAGTAGGCATGATCAACACTGAGCATTCTTCTACGCAAGCGCACAATCCCACCGCAGCAACCAAAACGATACAAATGGCCCAAGGGGGTCCAAGCAGCGCAATGGTGAATTGGACCCATCCCACCTTCCGATTTTACTCAGCACCGTCGCCTGGATGCCTGGAAACAGATATTCTATGATCAGAAACAAATGGCCAGGCAAAAAGGGAAGGTGCAAAGAAGAAAGGCAATAGTTCCAACCTCCAAGAAGTCGTCAGATTGCGAGCTTTCCGGTCTAGCTGGACGTTTTCTAGAGCACTTGATGCTCGCAACACTTCTTCAGAGATATCATCAGCATCATATCTCCAGTTGTATTCATCCTTCCTTGCATTGGAAGCCGAAGACCCCCCTCTTCGGTCTGAATGTCCAAAGCGCTAGCTTTAGAGGAGCACTCTAGCATAAAATAAACAAACCGAGAAAAAAATTATAATTTACCTGACATCTGTGACGATGGCATTGGCCTGCGAGTTGCAAGGAAATGTTACCTGTGTTTTGAGGAAACAACAAATATCTGCAAATTGAATAGCTGAATAGTAGTAAGCTGTTACCTTCCCATAGGAGGCAAGCCTGTAACTGAAGAAGACGACGGTGGCCTCCTCGTGTTCCTATGTTCAGCATTTAGAGCCGGATCCGACTCGGAATTGATTATTCTCCTACCAGTACCAGCCATCCTTGTTTGAGACAAATTCTGCTCAATGTAGCAATTCAAGTAACCAAAATCAGGCAATATAAGCAAATAAAGATTAAAACTAAGATATGTAAAAATGCATTTTCTTTTAGAAGAGTAAGAGAAACAGAGAGTTTGGGGTTATGATAGGTTCTACACCCACCTCACTCTAGATTTTTCGTGGTTAAAAAATATGTAGCCTTGTGTGTATTATTTGTAGAAATTCCATAGAAAAGTATTGTATATCTGTATACAAGTATACATAGGTGCTCATTTCGTCTCATTTAATCAAGTGAATAAGTTTTAGCGATAATTATTTATCTATTGTATTTTATATTTTATACATAGTATAGCTAGTTGAAATCTATGCAACACAAGGACATTTTACTAGTATCACTAATAGAAGTGTTGATAGCTAATTCATGGGCTCAAGAACAGCGAAAGAAAAATGTGGATATCTTTACTTACTCTTATAAAAGAGAGTAGTGGTGGTGGTGAGTGGTGAATCTGCCACCCCTCCCACCACCAACTCTCTACTATTTGAAAAAGAAAAAGGTCAAGTAGGACCAAAGGGTCCACATGTCAACCACCTCCATTACCAATTCCTTACATTTTATTAAAAGAAAAAAGTATGCAGGAAATGATGGTAATAATGGGTTAATAATAATTTTCTTTAATTAAAATCCTGTTGCAACACAGGGATTTTAATCAAATCAAAATTCCATAAACAGAAAGATTTCCATATACATTTATATACTGTCTGCCTGAGACTCTGAGTTAGCAAGAGTACCTCATATTTGAGATATCCTTCAAGAACATCTAGAAGCATGGGGCCACTTTCAGCACTCCTGCTCCCTTCAGCTCCGCTTTTGTTAGAAAAATCCTTTAATTCATTCTTCCAGAAGTCCTTTGGCTGATTTACAAATGCAACAGCCAACAATCAATAGCAGCATTAGCAGATGTTGATTTTGGACATATCCATCCAAGATTTATGAGATATGGCAAACTGTTACCAGATTACATTCAGGCAGATAAACTTTCATCGTGTGACTTAGCTGGGCCCACTCCAAGTATTCACTTACAAGTGCTGTTAATAACCTACCTGAGAGCAGTAGAAAATGTTCGACGTAAATCAATTATAACCGAAGAAGAAACTATGCAGCAGAAATGAAAGGCAAAGACTAACTAATCATCAGCAGGATAGAAAAAAGGTTCTTTCATAAGCGTAGAAGAGAAAGATGAAGCGAATAAAGATGCTACTTTGGCACAATGGTGGCATTTTGGCAAGCTGCAAATTCACAGAATGGTATGAAAACAAATCTCCAAAAAAGGAATCTAGAGAATCATACATATGAGATAAATTATTTTTGAAGCAGCATGGGAAACAATCTGAACTTCTGGGTAGAAAAGAAGGCAAACCTGATGGTGAAGCATGCAGCTGCTTAGCTCGGTCATTGCAGCTACCAAGCAAAGCGGGATTCCCACCATCATCATTCTCCACTACCCTATCCTCCTCTTCTATGGCCTCGAACACACTTGCTCTTAGCTCAGCCTACTCAAGCAAGAGTGCAAGACAAGATCACGCCTTATGGTAATAGGAGGGTTTTCGTATGTAATGTAATGTAATGGTTCTTGAAACTGAAGAGAGCACATGGCTTTATAACCTGGCTTCAACAGATGAGGAAAAGTAGAGCTATCCACTTCCTTCCTCAAGGATAATACTATTATCTAAATTTCGGACATAGATTTAACAAAAAAATTAAATAGCAGATGTCTAGAATCTTGGCACACGAGGAATGGCATGTGTGTAGATCAACATTTTGCACTCTAATTGACAATGCAAACAAAAGTAGGGCAAGCGTGAGATCCCTTTTTGTTTAACAAATTGAAACCTAAATAGAGCAGTAGACTTTGTCAAGACGAGAAAATTCCTTCAACAAGTGCGGCGCATGGAAGTCGAAGGTGAGAGGAAGCAATAAACAGTGAAGAGAAGCAATTCCGGCGGGCCGGAGATTGAGATCCGCAAGTAGTGAGTCAGATCCGCAGAAAGGTGAGCAAGAGAAGAGAAGAAGAGGGATGGGGGATTTGTACCCTGATCTTGGCGAGGACGCCCTTCTTCTCGAGGGTGCGGGTGACGAGCGTCTTGAGCTCCATCATCTCCCGCGCGTAGTCGTCCATCCCCCCTTCCGCCTGCCTCTCTCTCTCTCTCTCTCGGAAAACGAGGGGAGGCGGCGCCGGAGCCGGAGAAGAGAGAGAGAGAGAGAGAGAGAAAGAGGGGGGCACTGCGGCTGAGTCCTGTCTTTGACAGACAGGTGGGCCCCCTCTCTCAATCGCATCTACTAGGGAGGGGGTCCTTGGGTTTCATTCCTGCTTCAACATTCATCTTCTTTTTCTTTTCAATTGTTTTCATTTTGGTTTCACATGAGCGTTAATACATTTTTCTCTTTTTTTTAAGGGGGCTCGAGTACATTTTAAAGAGAATCTGTTCTATGAGATATATCATACAAAAATATTTTTGTAGAAAGTAAAGATGCCAAAAATAACATGAAACTTATAGAAACTTCCATGTTGTGTAAGGAGGTCACATATTTTTTTAAAACTTCTAATTAGATAAATCAATCCTCTAAGGGTATTTTTTGTTTAAATGGCTCGGCCCAATAAAATATTATACAACCATCGACGAAGTCATCGATATATTGTAGAAAGAGACAATGTCGATGGCAAATCGTTGACTGGGAAAGCTCAATAGCATGGAGTAAATTATCTCTACCTTTTAAAACTAACGGAGTTATCATATAAGAGTGCCCAAGCCGAGTCAAAGAATTAAATCCAACATAAAAACAACTGAGCGTGATTGTTTTCTCATTTTGATTTTACACTAGCCGCGTTAAACATTTTTCTCTTTTTCATAAGGCTCAAGCTATTTCAATCGTGTTAAATGAAAATTCTTTTTGAAGATTAGTATATATAGGTTTATATAATTGTATTGTGCCTGCCAAACATACTTCCTCAGTTTGAATGAAAATATATAGTGCTACTTTTGGATATGATATTTGACTATTTATTTTACTCAGAAATTAATGCAATTTAGACAGTTTGATTATTTGATATTATCTACTTGATCATAGGGATAGATTATATATTTTAAGAAATAAACTTAAATATTTTAAAACAAGTGGTCTAATCAATACAGAAGAAATCTTTTAAGAATTTTTTTTGAAAACTTAGAGCAAATAATCGGTGACGATAATCTAGTGAAAACTTTCTTTCTCCAGATCGGACGGTAATCAA